GGCCTTGAACTCACAGAGATCCACTGTCATCTGCCTCTGAGTGCTAGGATTAGATGTGAGCACCACCACAACAGGCTATTTAATTTTTAATGTGTATGATGGGTGTTTTACTTGAATGTGTGCCTACTTACCTTGTGTGACTATGGTGCCTGTGGAGGCTAGAAGAGGGCATCCAATCCCCTGGGACTTGAAATAGACGTTTGTGAGCCATGACATAGGTGGTGGAAATCAAACTGGGATCAATTGGAAGAGCAGTCAGTGCTCTTAACTGAGCCATCTCTCCAGCTCCATGGTTTAGTTTATTTTTAATCATCTCTCTGTGTGTGCACATGAGAGCTCCAGGGATGGGAGTCCTGGAACTGGAGTTACAGGTGGCTGTGAGCTGCCTGCTGTGGGAGCCAGGATTGAACTTGAGTCTTCTGGTAGAGCAGTCTGTGCTCCTAATTGCTGAGCCATTTCTCTAGGCTGGACAGATTTTTAATCCAATCACACATGTGCAACAAAGACTTGGTCTTCAAGCTCACAGAGAAGGCACATCTTCCTGGTACAGTGAGGAGAGTTCCATCTGAAGTTCACTAGTTCATAAGAAGAGGGAATATTTACCCAAGAAAGGAGATTAGAAAGGCAGGACAGGGCTGAAGAGACGGCTCAGCAGTTAAGAGCGCTGGCTGCTCTTCCAGAGGACCCAGGTTCAATTCCCAGCTCCTATGTGGCAGCTCAGTACTGTCTGTAGCTCCAGTTCCAGAGATGTGACACCCACACACACCCATGCAGGCAAAACACCAAAGCACGTAAAATAAAAATTATTTTTAAAAAAGCAGAACATGTTGCTCACTGGCCGAGCTATAGTTTCACTTTGGAGGTATAAACTCTGGATTTGCTCTCCAACACTGAAGAAAAGAGGGGGTGATAAATAATGCACAAAATGCCCGTATATGGGGTAGATGACAGTGTCAGTGGAACTGAACTGCATGGGACAGACAGGATACATAGTGGTGGGCAGTGTGTGTGAGAGGCAGCAGGGAGACCACCAGGGTCCCATATAGGAGCTTTCTCTCTATCCTAAGAGTGAAGAAAGCATGCACAATTACAATTACAGGCTGAGGGTTTGGAGAGATGGCTCAGTGGTTAAGGGCACTGGCTACTCTTCCAGAGGTTCTGAGCTCAACTCCCAGCACCTACATGGCAGCTCACAACTATCTATAATGGGATCTGATGCTGTCTTCAGGTGTGCAGACATGAATGCAAGCATACGTACATACATACATACATATATACATACATCTTTATAATCACAGGCTGTGAGCAAGTTTCAATTCTGAAAGGACCTCTCTGGGCTGGAAAGATGACTCAGATGGCAAAGCGTCTTCGTTGGCTGGTTAGTGAGCTTCAGGAGTCTACCTCTGCCTGGCTTTTATACTGTGATGGGATCCAAACTCAGGTCCTTATACTTACAAGAGACCCACATCAACCCCTGGCGCTATACCATTGCACACCAACATGCACAAACATACAAAAACATCTGATTGCATCCCTGCATATAGCAAGCACACAACACAGTGGTTCCTTAATCTTCCCCTAAAAGCTCCTTTAGATACTAAATGCTAAATTCTGCTAGCTGCTCCTTCCCTTTGAACTTCAACATCTCCCACAGGAACAATTGCAGTGGGTTCCTGTCTGGTCTCTCTACCTGCAGTCACACCTCCACACAAACTTTGTATCATTTGGTCCTCACAACATCCTGTCCAAGTAAGAAAAGTTACAGTGCTTGCCTTCCTTTTTCATATGCAGGAGTGAGGTCTAGTAGTGGTGGTAGAGGGCACACTTATGGCAGCTTCGGAAATCCAATTGTTAAAATTTCTGGATTTTTTTGAGACAGGTTTCTCTGTGTTAACAGCTTTAGCTGTCCTTCCTCTATAGCCCAGGCTGCCCTTGAACTCAGAGATCTGCCTGCCTCTGCCTCCAGAGTGGTAGGATTAAAGGCATGTGCCACCACCACCCAGCAGTTTCTGGAATTTTGTAAGACAGTTGTTAGACATAATAACTTCTTGGCCTTCTGACTAAGATCAAATGCTGTCAAACATAGTTGCTGGACTGGAGAGTTGGCTCAGTGGTTAAGAATGCTGTTTGCAGGGCTGGAGAGATGGCATAGCAGTTAGGAGCACTGATGTTCTTCCTAGAGGACTTGAGTTCAATTCCAAGCACCCACATGGCAGCTAACAACTGTCTGTAACTCTGATATCTGACACCCTCACACAGACATACATGTAGGTAAAGTATAAGTAAATAAATTATTTAAAAGAAGAGTGCTGTTTGCTCTTCCAAAGGACCCATGTTCAATTCCTAGCAACCACAAGGTAGCTCACAACTATCTGTAACTCTAGTCCCAGAAGATCTGATACCCTTTTCTGGATTCTGAGAGCACCAGGCAGGAATGTGGTACACAGACAAAACATGCAAGAAAATACATCCATATACATTTTAAAATCAAAATCAGAGACATATTTACTATTCAAAATTAAACTGTATAAACTTACAGGAAGGTATAGCTTAATGGTAGAATGTTTACCTGACATGCACAGGGCCCTAGATTCAACCCATGTATGTGTGTGTGTATAAGTTTATATATTTACATATTAAAATATGAACATACATAGCTGGGTGGTTGTGGTGCACATCTTTAATTCTAGCACTTGGGAGGCAAGGCAGGCAGATCTCTTGAGTTCAAGGCCAGCTTGGTCTATAGAGGGAAGACAGCTAAAGCTGTTAATGTAATGGGTAAACTAAACTCAAGGGCTTCACTTCTAATACTTTAGAAATAAAGGGACCAGACCATCACTCAGCCCCTGCTTTAGTAACCATGACAGGCTATAGAAAAGACACGTAGGCCTCTGACACAAGGAAACTCCAGATCCTCTGGCCTCCCGGAGCCTAGGGCCAAAACTGAACACAAAGAAACTCTAGACCCCCACCCCCACCCCAGCCTCCTAGATGCTTGGTTCCTGGGAACTGTTTGGCCACAAAAGAAACTTCAGGGTAGACCAAAACCTCCCTGTAGTCTCCAGGATATAGTTCTGAAAACTATTGGTATCTACCTGCAACAGGCCACCTGCAAGTAACAAGACAATGCCATAGAAACCACAGAATGTTCCCTCTCAGCACTGACCAATGAAAATAATCGGTACACACGTATTTCATGCCAAAATATGATTTTGAGAAATTCTCCTGATTGTTCCTAAATGTCAACCAATCAGAAACCAGCCCGTACCTACTGATGTAATCCTGTCACTTTTGTCTATAAAACCTAGCAGTAGACAGGGAACTTCACTCCCTCTGGGGGCTGCTGCCACAGCTTGCCAGACGGGGTCTCTGTCATGCTTGGATGAACGATCATTAAACCTTGCTTTTGTAGTTTAGTGGGTCTGTCTTTTTTTTTTTTTTTTTTTTTTTTTTTTTTGGTTTTTCGAGACAGTGGGTCTGTTTTTTTTTTTTTTTTTTTTTTTTTTTTTTTTTGGTTTCTCTGTAGCTTTGGAGGCTGTCCTGGAACTCACTCTGTAGACCAGGCTGGCCTCGAACTCACAGAGATCCGCCTGCCTCTGCCTCCCGAGTGCTGGGATTAAAGTCGTGCGCCACCAACGCCCGGCTTGGGTCTGTCTTCCTGATGGTTTCTGGGGACTTTGCAACTTGGGCACAACAGTTAGCACAGAGAAACCCTGTCTAAAACAAAACAAAACAAAACACTAGTCACCTTGATGCAGGAGCTGGGTGGTAGTGGTACATGCCTTTAATCCCAGCACCCAGGAGCCAGAGACAGGAGGATCTCTGTGAGTTCCAGGCCAACCTGGTCTACAGTGTGAGTTCCCAGTCAGGACTGTTATACAGAGAAACCTTGTCTCAGAAACCCTCTCCCCCACGAAAAAAGTGATGGAGGAAGGTGGGGAGATAGCAGTTATCAGCACTTTCTGCTCTTGCATAGGGCTGGAATTCAGTTTCCATAAAAAGTTAAAGCTCTAGGGGATCTGATGCTCTGTTTTGGGCATCACACACACACACACACACACACACACACTCACACACACACTTTTAAGTGACGGAGAATATGAGAGTAGTTCTGATTTATACCTCCTGTACATCTGTAGGTGTTACATTGGGAAGTAAAAAAAGTTGAAGAAACGCTTTAGTCATTGAAGCTAGTTCTGATTCAGCAAATTGTCACCATTATTGACAATTTGATCAAGTTTGTCTTCATTGCTTTGCTGACCTTTTGCATCAGTAGAGGAAAATATCAGTAAAAACTTTTGTTAAATGACAGTCCTTGGTCACGTGTAACCAGTTTGGGAAGTCTGGGAATGACTCTGGTGGCTGAACTGATTCTTAGCATATGCCCCTTCGAGGATTCTCAACATGACACACACACTATGAAAAAAACCAGTGGAAGCATGCATTTGGTAATCAGTCATACAGAACTGGCTACTGTATACTTTTATTATTCCTTGGAAATTGTGTACTACACATCCTTTATTTCAGTCAAATTCATGATGTTAAAATTAACTACATATACACCCTTCCTTCCCCCAAAGAATCAGTTGTTTAACATGGAACAAGCACACCGTCGAATCTAGAACACATTTTCATGAAGTCATTCCATAATTCGTCAGATGGTAGGAAAGAGGATACAGATTTAACGAAATGACTTGGCCAAGGTCATACACCCCAAGCAGCATAGATAGGACAACCCACACACAGTGCCAGGGGCTGCGTCCCTCTCCCAGGTCCAGATTCAGGTCCCAAGGCCTTTCCCGTTCCACAGGGAAGGGCAGACCGGGCCTGAGCGCCCAGGAAGTGAAAAGGCAGGGGTCGGTGCCGGAGACCAAGGAGACCACAGAACTAGTGGACGGCCAATAGCAACCAGGGCGGAGAACAACGTCAAGCTCAGTAGAAGCCGACGCTGCGCACCCTGGGGAAAGGGGCGGGAACTGGTCAGGAAGTGACGTATCGGGGGCGGTCCTCGGCGGCGGCGCGCGGCCTGGGCTCGCGCTGGGCTCCGCGCGCCCCCGGCCCCCTCTGTGAGGCAGAGGCCGCGGCGGCCGTTAGTGCTGTCGCTCCGGGGGCCGCGGCGGGCGGGGCTCCGGCGGGGCCCGGCCTAGTCCCCACCCAGCCCGGCTCCCAGCCGCCCGCCCTCCCTCCCTTACCCCGATGCAGGGGGCCGAGCTCCGGGACGGCGAGGCGGCGGCGGCGGCCGCTTCGTACCGGGTCCTGAGCCGCCTCCTCGGCTATGGAGAGGCGGCCCCCGAGCCAGGCCCGCCGCCGCCGCCGCCCCCGGGCCATGGCCCGTCGCCGCCACCCTTCCTCGCGCGGCCCGGCCCGCGGGGCGCCCGGCCCCCGCAGCTGATGGTGTTCCGCAACGTGGGGCGGCCGCCGGAGGAGGAGGACGCGGAGGCGGCGCCGGAGCCGGGACCCTCGGAACTGCTGTGTCCCAGGCATCGCTGTGCGCTGGATCCCAAGGCCCTCCCGCCGGGCTTGGCGCTCGAGCGGACCTGGGGTCCGGTGTCTGGACTAGAGGCGCAGCTGGCGGCTTTGGGGCTCGGACAGCCGGCGGGGCCGGGGGTCAAGACTGCCGGCGGAGGCTGCTGCCCATGCCCGTGCCCCCCGCAGCCGCCGCCGCCGCAGCCCCCGCCGCCTGCTGCCGCCCCGCAGGCCGGGGAGGACCCCACGGAGACGAGCGACGCGCTGCTAGTCCTAGAAGGCTTGGAATCGGAGGCCGAGAGCCTGGAGACTAACAGCTGTTCAGAAGAGGAGCTCAGCAGCCCGGGCCGTGGAGGAGGAGGGGGTGGCCGGCTTCTGTTGCAGCCCCCGGGCCCCGAACTACCCCCGGTGCCATTCCCGCTGCAGGACTTGGTCCCTCTAGGGCGCCTGAGCCGAGGGGAGCAGCAGCATCAGCAACCTCCCCCACCGCCGCCGCCTCCCGGGCCCCTCCGGCCCCTCGCGGGCCCTTCTCGGAAGGGCTCCTTGAAAATCCGTCTCAGTCGCCTGTTTCGCACGAAGAGTTGCAACGGAGGCTCGGGCGGTGGGGATGGGACCGGCAAGAGGCCTTCTGGAGATCTGGCAGCTTCAGCTGCGAGCCTGACGGACATGGGAGGCTCTGCGGGCCGGGAGCTGGATGCGGGGAGGTGAGAATGGCTGGGGGGCGGACGACAAACTTCCATTTCTTGTTTCGTTTCTCTCATTTCCCCTACTGCTAACACAATACTGTCAGTTCTCAAGCTGTGGACTTCTGGAGAAGGCAGACACTTGGGACTAAAGGTGGTGACATTTCGCATTAGATCAGAGCTAATTGTGGAAACAGCTTTCACTCCTGGAGAGTTCACGCTCGGTGACACTTCTTGGTGGGTTAGTGTCTCTTTCTGGGAGTGATCTGAAGCCCTGCCTCACCATCCCTGTACTGGCCCCACTTTTTAAGCTTCCCTTCCCTTCCCCGGGATCTGTCTACCATTTCTAACAATGCTGGGAGGTTACTGGAAGTGTGTGGCCTTGGGGCCAAAAAGCTAGTGACCTGCCTATTATTATCTTGACCATCTTGCTTATTCTGTCTGTGCACCTGCCCTCACTCTCTTCACACGTATATGCATGCAAAATGGTCTGGGGAATTTGGCCAGCAATCAGCTGAGCATCTCTATTCTTAATATTCTCCTGGTTCTTAGATATTTGCTAAATCGTGTGTGCTGACCACATTCCAAGAATAGCATTATGTTTGCTCTCTCGATTTCACACAGATGTTGAGAATTCTAGGCCAATTAATGACAATACTAAACTTGGAGACGTTGAGTTTTTCCCCCTGCATTTCTAAAAAGTGGATGGATTTTTGACATAAGGGCATAGTTTTGTAGTCCGTTTAAAAAGCTGTCACTATTGCATCCACTAATGAGACTTTCCTTGTGGAATAACTGTGGATTGTAGTTCTGACTCTTAGACTTGAATTGATGGCTTTTGTTTTGTTTTGAGACGAGGTTTTATTATGCTGATTAGGCTTGCTTTGAATCCACTATGTAGCCCAAGACTGGTCTAGATCTCTTGATCTTCGTATCTCCTGAGTCCTGAGTCAGCCTCCCCAGTGCCAGGATTATAGGCCTGTTGCCATCATGCCTGGCCGGAATTAATCTTGGTGTGGTTTATGCGATATATTTTTGAAACATACTGACAGTGACAAACCAAAGCCAAAAAGCAGATAAGTTGATAACTTTGTTGAACACTAGAATCTTTTGGGGGTGGGAGATGAAAAAATAAGTATATCTGGGGCCCAATTTGAATTTTTTTATAATTTATTTTATGTTCACTGGTGTTTTGCCTGCATGTATGTCTGTGTGAGGGTATCTGATCCCCTGGAACTGTACAGACAGTTGTGAGCTGCCATGTGAGTGCTGGGAATTGAACCTGAGTCTTTGGAAGAGCAGCCAGTGCTCTTAACTGCTGAGCCATCTCTCCAGCCTCTACTATTTGAATTTTTTAGTGCTCCCCAATTGATCCTGGATGCAAACCACTCCTTCTTGGATGTGGATTTCTGAAGGGAACTTGAATACTCCAAGATAAAAGGCGTTGTTCCATTGGGCTGTGTTGCCATTTCTGAATAGATGTGCCATGAACCAGACCCAAATCCTTGGTTGTTTTTCCCAGTGTGTTGTCCCTTTAGATAGGGCCTATCTTTTTGATTTATTTATTTTTGTAAACTCTTGCTGAGAACTCAGATCTTGAAAAGTGGCTGCTAGAACAGTTGTCCCATGTCGTCATATCTCCCACCCCTCTGATAGGTTCTGTATTTGATGCTCCACTTAACCAACATGGGTGGACTTTGCATCAGCTGAGGGTGGGCGGCAGGATTGAAGCTGTGGGTAATGACATAGGATGGATTGATAATTTTCTTGTGGTTTGTCTTGCCTTTGTTCCACATTGACCAGGACTTGGTCTATCTAAGATTCCCGAGACACCGAGTATGAGGTGTGGCGTGAAATTAGCTGCTAAGTCTAATAGATTAGGAAGTGAAAAAGGCATATAACGTTGTATGGTTTTTTGCCTTTGGAAGCAGAATTTAATGGTCATTGGCTGCGCTGTCACCAACCCTCACACTAAGCACAATACAGATTTCTGCTACAGAGCAAATTAGGCTGTACCTCAGCTTAGTTCAGGGCACTGGAGAAAGACATTTTTTGGTCCAAGAGCTTTTTCTGATGAATTGGAGAAGAGCTACGTAATTGTGTGTAAACATTTGGTTGACTGCTAGTTGGAGGCAGAATGTTGTATAGAGAATTAGGAAAGTCTGGATTCCATTTGGAACTTCAGCATTAGCTGCGAGATGGAGGGCAGGTTTGTCATTTTTATTCTTCCCTTTTCTGTCTGAAATGGGACAGCTGTGAATGTCTTGTTCATGTCCTTACAGGAATGGAAGGAAGATGAGAAAACGGGGTGGGCTATTTTGTGCTTTTTGGAAGAGAAGTGGTGAGATTGAATTGGTGCGTTTTCCCTGTGCTGAGTGTTAGTGCTGCTTGCTAGCTTTGCTGTGCTTGTTATGTGCCAGAGTGCTGGCAGCCTCGAGCTGTGAGAACCTTGCTAAGTCTGGCCAGGGTAGTTGTGATTTCTGTGGGGCTGCGTCTCCTAAGCATGTCCTCCCTTGTTGGGGAAGAGCAGTAGTTTTCACTCTTATTTTATTCTCTTATTTTAAATGGTAGTACCTGAAGCACTGAGAAATTTCCATCCTTTACGGGAGTTATGAGGCTTCCACATCATTGTTGGTTGAAGTTAATTATGGGCCTTTGCTGTCTTTGCTATGTAATTTGAGGCACTTATGGTAACCTCTAGGCATAATTCTCTTTACTCTTCTCAGCATCTACCTTTGCCATCTGTACATTTCCCACAGCTATTGCTTCCAATGAGAAAGTATTTCCTAATGACCATTTTTTAAGGCTTAGCTGTCTTCATGTCCTGTTGGTGAACGACTTGACTTCCTTACACATACTTCGGATTTGCTAAGAGGACCTGTCCAATATAGTGAGTCTTAAGAGTAGAGTAGTATAAGGGGACTGGAGAGATGATGGTTTAGAAATTGAGAGCACTTGCTAATCTTGTAAAAGACTGGAGTTTGGTTCCAATGCACCTGGACTGTGTAGCTCCTGAGCACCTGTAACTCCAGCTGCAGGAGATCCAGTGTCCTCTTTTGATCTCAGCAGGCACATGTATACATGCCTACATGTACATGTACATGCACACATGCTTAAAAACTTTGTAAGTCTTTAAAAGTAAAAGATGGGTATGAGGGTCAGCAAGATAGCTCAGCAGGTAAAGGTGTTTGCTTCCAAGCCTGATGACTCGATTTTGAGCCAATCTTTGGGACCCACCCGGTTGAAGGGGAGAACTGACTCTAAAGTTGCCCTCTGACTTCCACATGCTTGCTGTGGCACATAGGCATCCACTCCCAACTTCTTAAAAAGTAAATAAATGTAGCTGGACATTAATTCTATCACCTGGGAGGCAGAGGTGAGCAGGTCTCTGAGTTTGAGGCAGCCTGATCTATATAACAGTCACAGGCCAGCTAGAGCTACATAGGAAGACCCTGTCTCAAAATTTGTTTTTCAATTAAATGAAATAATAAATAGTATGGGTTAGCTTTGAGAATTCTTTAAAGGGAAGTAAGATTGAGCCTGCCAACTAATCAGGTTTCTTTTCAGAGGAGCTGGGCTAGGCCTTATATCACACATATGTCAGAATTCAGAGAGCTGGGCTTTATGCCTGTGGGCCGTGGTATAATATAGAACTTTTCTATTTCAAGAAAACCAGTGGAGTTCCCTTGTCTCACATATGTTGAGCTGATTGTCTTTCTTCAGATTTGGTGAAAAATAACATCTATCTGCCCTGTTTGGATATTGTATTACACTCAGTTGGGTGTAGGTACCTTGTTCTCAAAATTGTTTGCTGAGGTTAACAGTTGAGGTTGCTCCTGGCAGTCTTTATGGTTGTGTAGTGGAGAATGGAGAGCAGTTCTATAGCGTTTGATGTCTATGATGTTTGATTTGTTTGGAGAAAAAGGTGCAATTCTGGGTGGAGAGGTTTCTTTGGCATGCATTTGGGGCCCTGCTGTCATAGGTAGACTTGGCCAACATCAGAAACTTAATGTTACTTTGGGTCTTGAGCTCCAGGGGAAGGGATGTTTTTTGCTGATGTTGTTTTGCTTCTTTATTATTACTTTTGGTTTTATTAAACAAGATTTTTTAATGTGTATGTCTGTATGTATGTGCACGTATGTAGGTGCCTGATAGGTCTGAAGAGGACATTGGATCTCATACATCTCGTGTTACAGGCAGATGTGAGCTGCTCAGGTTGGGTGCTGGGAACCAAACCTCTTCCAGGTACTCCAGAAGAATAGCAAGTAACAGTTGATCCTCCCGTCCTCTGCCCTTTTTTTGAAGTAGTCTCACAGTGCAGTGGGACTGGTCTTGAACTCACCATGTAGTTCATCCTGGCTTCCAATTTGAGCTGATCTTCCTGTCTCAGCTTTCTGAGTTCTGAGATTAAAGATGTGTATCTGGTCCTGTATAGCCAGGATGGCTTCAAACTTACTATGTATATCTCAAGGCTGGTCTTGACCTGATTCTCCTGCTTCCATCTCCTTTGTGCTAGAATCACAGCCATGTGTTAACATAACAGCCAAGCTCAAAGGGGCCTTTTCAAGTCATAACATGAGATGCTGAGAGCAAGGTGCTAGTGTGGTGTGCTGAGCTATATTGGGTTTTTGTTTCATGCTCTGTTGGCCTTTTAAACTTTTTACAAACTGCTTGTGGTTGTCAACTCTGTCAGAATGAGCTCTCCTGCTTTAAAATTTTTGTCTTTCCACTTGAGTCTTGTGCCTTCTATATTCTCTTTGCCAACATCATTCCTGAGGTTTTAGGCATTAGACTACACCCCTTGGCTTATCACTAGAAGTTCCCTCCATCGGTTTCTTACGATAGAGTTTTGGATCTGACCTTGCTGCACAGATGTCTGTGTATTGGAACTAAAAATGAACACATGGTTTTTGTGCCTGTAGAACATGGACAGACACACTGGCTTATGATGTATTGGAAATGGCACAGGCTGCGTATCTTGGCACTGAGTGCATTAGCAGGGGCAGAGGTGTATTGGAGCTACACAATCTAGTATTTGAGCATCCTAGTTTGGAAGGTGCTTTAGGAAAGGATACTTGTAAGTTTTAGGGATAAAGTGATTTATGGACAAGAGTGGTAGACATGATTCATTGTTTGATTTTAGGTTCCTAGGAATTTGAAAATTGGCCAACGATTACATCTTTGTGCTATTGTCCTGTTTAGTCTAGCGCTTCTAATTCCTTTTATATCACTAAGCTGTTGCAGTACAGATGATAATTTTCAGAATAGAAATGGACAGAGATGTTCTCTTACCTCCGACTTGGGGCAGTGACATACCTGATTTAAAGGACAGCAAGCCCCCCAAAAGACTTGCCTAAAGCCACCTGTCCATCACTTGAGTCATGACCTACCAAATCATTCTCCAGTGAGTCTGTTCTAAGATGCAAGTGGCCCTCTGGCAAAGTTAAAAGTACTTTAATTTTGTACCTCAGTGTTTATCAAGGTGATGTGGGAAGGCATGAAAAACCCATAAATGTTGTATGGAGGGTTAATTTGAATGTTTATTTGGGCTGGGGATGTAGTTCAGTTGGTGGAGTGTTTGTCTAGTTTGTTCAAAACCCTGGGTTGGATTCCCAGAACTGCAAAATATGTTTATTTGGAGGCCTGGAACGTGTGTAGCTTAGCTGGTAGAGTACTTGCCTTTAATGAATGAAGCCTGAGTTCAGTCCCTAGCACTGTGTAAACCAGCCATGTTGTACCTCATAAACAGTGTATGTATGGTGGTACATGTTTGTAACCCTAGCAATTGAGGAGATGGAGGCAGAAGGGTCAGAAGTTCAGGGTCATCCTCATCTACATATCAGATTCAGGGCCAACATGAGAACCCTGTCTCAAAAAGAAAAAAAATCATCTGGTATTATTCTTGTTGCTTTCCAAAAAAAAAAAAAAAAAAAAAAGATCTTAATCATCTTAGAAATGGGCTTTTATCATCCTAGATATTTACTATATATAAAAAGAGATATAGGAAATATATGTACTAAAGAATAAATCCACATTCAGGTACTCATTAAACTTAGCAAATAGGCATAGTATTAGTCAAAACCTTTATCTAGACTCAAGTGTTGTTGTCCTTGTGATGTTTTGCCTGTCGTATCCTCCCCCACCCGCCCCCAGTTTAACTGCCATCCTCAGTTTTGTGTTAAATTCTTTCTTTGCTTTGTTTTTTTAGTCTTCTAGATTGGCCTCTTCATTAGACTGCCATGAGAATGTTCACAAGGTCCTGGAGGTTGAAAATGGGTTTTTATTAGGCAGCATCTTCCCAAAGTGAGAAGGAAGCACACATATTTATTGTTAGCCTTTCAGCCTCTTAGACCTTTTACTTTTTAGCTTCCAGCCACAAAGCATCCTTCTTTGCCAGGAAAAACCATCTAGCCCTCTCAGATGGCTCTGCCTGGGTTTAAATTCAGATGTTTTTCTTTTTCTAGATCCTAGAGAAACTATGATTTTTCTTCAAAATGTCGGGGGTGGGGGAGAAGATGAGCTGAAGTGAGAAGGCCTCCGCAGACGTGTGCATTTGGGTACTGCCGTTCTTGAGAGCTTGGCACTAAAGAGACTCGTCCCCAGCATGGGCAGATGGTAGAGGGATGCAGCTTCCTTTGAAAAGAGGCAAACTGCCAAATGGCTGAAGTGTGAACCTTTTGAAAGGCCAGTGCTTTGGGTTTCTACTTGCTAAGTTTAATGTTGTGTCCACACGTTATTAAATAAAAGTCGGTTTGGGAGCTCCTCAGCTGCTTTCTGCTCATGTCCAGTGAAATGGACTCTCCATTCTTGTCCTTTGGGTTGCGGGCACTAAGCTGTAGTCACGAGCAACTTGTAAAAACAGAAGCCATGTGTGGTTGTATCTTGTTTTTATGTGGCCATGTCCCCTTGTGGGCTGTGGGTGTGTTCAAGTGTGGATTATTAGATCTCTTAGAAGGAAGCTGCCTGTGTTTCATCTCTTTCTTTCTTTGAGACAGGGTCTATGTAGCCCTGGATGGCCCTGGGACTCACTATATAGCAGGCTAGCTTAAACTCACAGAGACCTGCCTCTCTCTGCCTCCCAAGTGTTGGGAAGGGTGTGCTAAAAGTGTATTCTCTCTCTCTCTCTCTCTCTCTCTCTCTCTCTCTCTCTCTCTCTCTCTCTCTCTCTCTCTCTCTCTCTCTCTCTCTCTGTGTGTGTCTTTTTCTTCTTTCTTCCTTTTTTTTTTTTTTTTTTTTTTTTTTTAAAGCTGTGGTCTTGTTATGGAGCCCAAACTAACCTTTGTGACAAGTCTGTTTTGCTTCCCAAGTGCTGGGACTATTAGGTGTGCAACACCACACCCAGTCCTCAGCTCTTTCTGACTGAAGTCTTCATGGTCTGGTTTTGAGAAGCCCAGGCATCTATAATAAAACATGAAAGCAGAGCCAGGCAGTGGTGATACACTCCTTTAATTACAGCACTTGGGAGGTAGAGGTAGGCAGATCTCTGCGAGTTTGAGGCCAGTCTGGTCTACAAAGGAAGTTCCGGGAGAGCCGAAAAAGAAAAAGAATAAAAAGTGTATTTGTTTTCAGGGTGCAAGGTGTAGTCTAGTTGGTAGAGTACCTGCTTATCATGCACAATGCCCCAAATTCAACCACAGCATGTTTGTGTTTGTCTGCCACATGTATACGGGGCCTTTGAGGCCAGAAGAGGGTATGGAACCACTTGAAAACAAATAATTTTAAATAGGTTTTCATTTTAATTTTTTCCTTCTGTAATGAAGGGTTTACTTTGTGTTTCAGGACATCTGGAATGCAGAGTTTCAGTGATTTAAACACCTGTGTGTTCACTTCTCTTTATTCTCTGTGTGCTTTCTTACTCTATAGTGCAATTGAGAGTTAAAAAGGGTTTACTACTTTCTATTTACTCCTTTGTGTCACAGTATGTCTAGGAGGTGAGCTAGCTATGATACCTGGAGTCAGGCATTGTGAAGCTCTAAGGATAATGTCTAGTGTCAGTCAGTTCTGGGATGGGATTTTAGACTTTATTAGAACTTACCCCTCTTCACTTATTTGTATTGCCTCAGTAAAATCTTAGTCATCTTGAGATGAATGAAAAAAGGTTAACACATTCTGGCTGAAAACATCTGTGTTGGCATCTCTGGTTCCTCATGGTTTGCTGAAAAGCTACTTGAAGTAGGTATAGTTGTTACCTTGGTGTGTAACTGAAGGTGGTTTCTGGAGAGCGTCAAGGCAGAGCTGTGTGACCCGGAGGGGAGGGTGTACTTGGGTGTAGGTGTACTTGGGTGTAGGCAGAACCACTACCCTAAGAAGGCCTTGGCTCATATCTCAGGGCCACGGGCAGAGAGAGTTCATGGTTGAAGATGGCAGTGTATCCTTTCGTGTTCTCAGGCCAGGGTGTGCCCCTGGCTCCCTGACTCCATTTGGAACCTTAGAGTCAGGCCCAGAGGGAAAGCTGTTGTTCTAAACTGGCAGCTGCTCAGGCCTAAAAGCCTTTTGCTTGGCTTTCACATGAAAATCAACTCTGCATCCAACTTCCTTGTGAAATAGACTTCGTAATTACTACTCAGGTGTTTCATTCTTAATGTGCTGGGCGTGGATGAACCTAAAAGGATTGCTATTGCTTTGTAGGCAATCTATTTAGTAGCCAAATCTATTTAAAGAATTGCCTTAATTTATTTCATCCTCCTTTAAATTTTAGGCTTTATTACAGACGTGTTACCAACATGTCTGTAATAAAGGGTTTGTTTTGTGTTTCAGGACATCTGGAATTCAGTGTCCTAGTGATTTAAGTGCATATGTGTTCATTTTCCCCCTTTATTCTTTGTGTACTTTCTTACTCCCTAGGAAACCCAGGTTGACAAGAACTCAAAGTGCCTTTTCTCCAGTCTCCTTCAGCCCCTTGTTCACAGGTAAGGATCATATCTTTCTTTCATTCTGATAACAGAAAGTGGGAGTGTCCTGAGAGCTCTCAGGGAACACACTTGCAGATGCATCACTGGGGGAGCTCCAGGCCCCTTTCAGGCTGTCTGCAATAATTTCCTTCATTCCATGGGGTGAGGCTGTTTTCATGGCAGTTATATAGTTCAGAGTCATTATATATAAATTAAAGGCAAGAATTACAAAGATAGAGGCTTACAATGCATAAAAGACTTTCTTGAAGTCATAATTCCTGTCCCAGCCTCTAAATAAGTTCACAGATTATCTAATAAAAATGACCCGTGTGCATCTGGTCTAGTTTAAAGAGAAGGGCAAAGAGGATTGTGTGAGCTTTTGTCTTACCATTTTAGGGTTGGTAGTTCTTGCAGCTGTCAGTGTTCTTCATTGTGTCTAATTTAAGTGTGTCCTCTTGCAACAGGGAGCACAGTTGCTAAAGTAAGGAGAATGTTGGATGTCCTCTTGGTAGTGGGTCACTGCCATGTCATCTCATATTATGGAGAACTTTTCAGAGAAAGGCCTTCTGTTCTGTCAGTCATATGTAAAGCTTCTGGTTGAGTAGAAGCTGTAAAAAGATCTTTTTCATATTCTTTCAAGTCCAAGAAGCCAGCTGCCCTACTTGGTTGTGACTGAGAAGCCTTTTAAAAAATAGTCTTTTGGTTGGAACCTACTTAACTCCTGTAATTCCACTACATGGAGACGGAGGAAGGATTGCCAAATTCAAGTCTAGTGTGGTCTAAGTAATGATATCAGACCAGTCAGGGCTACATAGTAAGACCCTACCTCAAAAAAACCTTAATTAATTAATTAGATTTAGAATGCCAATCTCTCCTTCCATCCCCCCCCTTTTGGTTCTTTAAGACAGGGTTTCTCTGTGTAGTTCTGGCTGTCCTGGAACTCATTCTGTAGACCAGACTGACTTCCACCTCACAGAGATCGGCCTGCCTCTGCCTCCCAAGTGCTGGGAATAAAGGCGTGCGCCACCAATGCTCGGCTCAGTTAACCTTTTTTGGTTCTTGCTTTTGTCATGTCCATGTAGTGGGCATCTAGCAAGCCACATTGGCATGCAGATCTGCAAAACAATGGCATAGTTTTATTTGATAAAGAAGGTTCCTTTTCAGAGTTAGAGCCCTTGTTCAAGGTAAGTCAGTGGCAGAAACAGCATTGGATGGCTTTCTCGCTGTCAAGCTATGCTAATAATGCTTTTCTCCTGAGGAAACCTGGGCCTTAGTGTGCTAAAGGAATGATAGGATTTCTTGGTTTTGTTTTGTTTTGAGACAGGGTTTCTCTGTGTAGCCCTGGCTGTCCAGGAACTTACTCTATAGGGTGGCCTCGAACTTGGAGACCTACCTGTCTCTGTCTCCCCAGTGCTGGGATTAAAGCCACGCAGATTTTTATTTCTAAAATGTTTATTTTATATGTACAGATATTTTGTCTATATGTATGTCTGTGTACCGCCTACGAGTCTGGTGTCTTTGGGGGCTATATGAAGGCGTCAGAAACCTTAGAACTTGAGTTATAGACAGGTGGGAACTGCTATTCAGTGCTGAGAATCAAATCTTTGTCCTCTGGACCAGCAGCCAGCGCTTTTAACCCCAGCCATCTCTCCAGCCCTGGAATGATAGGATTTAGAAATAATAATTTTAAGTTTTATTATTTTGTTCCTTTTTATTTACATTTTATTTTTGATTGTGTGCCTTATCATGGATGTAGAGTCAGTTCTTGCCTGGGTGGTGTGGTGCATACCTTTAATCTCAGCACTCTGGAGGCAGAGGCAGGCGGAACTCTATGAGCTTGAGGACAGCCAGGGCTACACAGAGAAGCCCTGTAACTGGGGAGAAAAAATCAGTTCTTTTCTCCCACCATGCAGGACTTGGGAGGGGGCGAACTCAGATTACCAGGTTTGTTAGCAAGTCCCTTTACCTACTGGGCCATCTTACCATCCCTAGTTTTCCTATTTTATGTATATCAGTTGTTTTTTTACATGTATGTGTGTACTGTATATGGTCTTGGTGCCTGTGGAGGCCAGAAGAGAGGGGGATGAATCCCCTGGTACTGGAGTTAAGGTGGCTATGAGCGTCATGTGAGTGTGGAGAAGGGAATCTGGGTCTGCTGGAGAACCGCAGCCTCGTGACCTCCAAGCCAGCACACTAACCCAAGAACAACTAGATTCTCAACCAGTTGCTGTTCTGGGTAATTTCAACCTGGAGAGCATCAGATTCTAAGCTTTGGGGCCTTCAGTCCCCAGCCCTCTGGCCTCCCTTGCTTGCCCTCTGTTTCCCTTCCTTTTGGCCTCAGCTTTGGGCGTGGTGCTTCTATAACATACTTGCTATATGAATCCTTCAGGTGAGACAGTGTCGCTTGTGGATGTGGACATTTCTCAACGGGGCCTGACCTCTCCACATCCTCCAACTCCCCCTCCTCCTCCAAGAAGAAGCCTCAGCCTCCTAGGTATAGTCTCTGACTTGCCCTTTTGCCTTCTTGCCCTAGAGGGAGGGTGAGCTCTAGGGATCTGTTCTTTTGTCAGGAGCCAGATTAGTTTCTGGGTTTCTATTGATGATCCAATTGTTTCCCATTCCTTTCTCCATACCTCTGTCATACCTGTAGGCACATAAATGGGTGGGCATCTGATCTGCATGCAGCAGTATTTACTGTCCATGTGTTGACTAGCTCCATGTTTGCCTTGCCCTCAGTCTGTTGCTACTGAGCTGTTTTAGGAGTACCCTCATTCTCCTGCTTTCTAAGCAAAGCAGAGCTGGTAGGAGAACTTACCTCGTGCATAGAGATAACAGAGGGCAGCCTGACATCCACCTCCTCTGCCTTCACCTTCTGTTGTGTGCTCATTTTGCTGAACCTCTTGCTTTTGTTCTCTCTTCTAGATGATATCAGTGGGACGCTGCCTACATCTGTCCTTGTGGCTCCGATGGGGTCTTCCTTGCAGTCTTTCCCCCTACCTCCGCCTCCTCCACCCCACGCCCCAGGTTAGCTTAGCTTAGAGGCAAGACTTGTAAGAGTGGAAGGATGGGAGAAGTCTGTTTATGGACAAAGTCTCAATCTTTATCCCCTTAGCTGGACTAGGACTTGAAAATGAGTTCAAAAAATATTTTTTCTAACCTGTTTCTTTATGGAAGTAAATATTTTTCCTAGAAATAAAAGACTGAGATTTTTGGTCCCTGTTTCTGGGGCTGTTTTGCAATCTCTGAGTAGATATCACTTAAGAAACTGCCTTAATGTCAGTTCAATGAACAGATTGAATATGTTGCTGGTTATCAGAGTTCTGTGTTTTTTGTTTTTTTTTTCTAAGCTTTTTGGTATTTACCGCAGCCTTGTAAATAAGTACCAAGCATTTAGTAGCCCATACCTGCTTTGCCAGCCTCCGGTACCCAAGGAATAAAATGAATGAAATCAGCATTCTTTTCTACTTGCCTGGCAAAAATCGTTACTCTCCTTGGGCAAGTAAGCGAGTCACTATTTCCAAGGCTGCTTTACCGGCACTTCACTTCGAGGTGGGAGAAGTTGGAATCGCTCTAGGCTGGTGAAGCCGTTGAAGTAGTCACCTTAGTCAGGTTAGTGAGCGGCTCCCCTCCTGCTTTCCTGGGGTTGAATGCCCCACCCATCCTTCACAGCTTACACGAGCCCACACAGCTTTTTGTTCCAGCCCATCCAGCTCTTCCCACTGCTTTGGCTTCCACCTTCCCTCTCCAGCTTAGCTTCTAATGCCTTGTCCTCTTCAGTTAGCATCTCTTTTTTCTTTTCTTTTTGTGGGGAGGGGAAGTCTGCCTATGGATGGGAGCAGTGTGATAAAACAAGTGGTCTCCATTCTCTTGCTCTGCAGATGCATTTCCCCGGATTGCTCCCATCCGAGCATCGGAATCCCTACATAGCCAGCCCCCTCAGCACCTCCAGTGTCCCCTCTACCGGCCGGATTCAAGCAGCTTTGCAGCCAGCCTTCGAGAGCTGGAGAAGGTAGGTGATGTGGTGTCTGAGTCTATGTCTGGGCTGTCCTTCCCGGTTTTAGAGGGAGAGGAGTTTCTGTGCTTCCATAGTCACAGTGGCTAGACAGTAGGCTCTTGTTCACACCATACGAAAGGTAAGAATGCTGAATTTGGAGAGAACAAAGTTAGACATAATGGAGGAGGAGTGTGGAGAAATACTGGGAATAGTCTAAGGTGGTTTTGCGAGGTAAACTGACCAGTTAGTTCCTTCTTGTCCTTGTAGGACCATTGGTAATGAAATGTAGAGTTGGTCTTCTGGTGCTGGGGAGGATGAAACATGGAAGGAGCCTGGTTTTCACTGCTGTGGTTGGCACAATGTTAATGGCTTTTACCTTCTTAGATATTTTGGAGAAGGAGGGAGGGAAATCTCCCCTCATAAAATAGATTGTGCCCAAGATGTTGTCATTTCTCTGTCAATTGCTTCACTGTTTTCTATTTTTATAGTGTGGTTGGTATTGGGGGCCGATGAATTGGGAGGACGCAGAGATGAAGCTGAAAGGGAAGCCAGATGGCTCTTTCCTGGTACGAGACAGCTCTGATCCTCGCTACATCCTGAGCCTCAGCTTCCGATCACAGGGCATCACCCATCACACTAGAATGGAGCACTATAGAGGTGAGATATGCTGCTACTAGGAGAAAGCCTTCCTCCAGCTTTGCCTTTTCCTACCTTTGCTGAGTTAGGCCCCTGACCTCCTTTTTAAGTTTTATTCTGAGACAGGGTTTCTCTGTGGCTTTGGAGGCTGTTCTGGAACTAGCTCTTGTAGACCAGGTTGGTCTCGAACTCACAGAGATCTGCCTGCTTCTGCCTCCCGAGTGCTGGGATTAAAGGCGTGCACCACCAACGTCTGTCTTCATTATTTTTATTTTATGAGTGTGGGCTTGAGTGTATTGTCTATATACCACCTAAAAGAGGGTATTAGGTTTCCTGGAGCTGGAATTATCCACAGTTATAAGTGCTAGGCAGCAAACCCCGCAAAAGTAGTGAATGCTCTTAACCTCTAAGCCATTCTCCAGCCTGTCTGTCTGTCTGTCTGTCTGTCTGTCTCTCTGTATGGTGTGGGTGGGTGGGTTGGAGAGAGGGAGAGGGAGGAGAGAGCACTACAGGGTGCCTGTGAGGTTAGAGGACACTTTGAATGTCTTGCATGTTAGTCTGTACCTTCCGCTTAAGACAGGCTTTCTTGTTCACTAGTGCAGCCTAATCTAGCATATATCAGTGTAGTCGGCCTGAGGTTTTGGAAACTTTCTTGTCCCTGCGTAGGAGTGCTGGAAACATGGACATGTGACATCACATGTGCTTTACATGGGCTCTGCAGATCTAAATCAGGTCCTCATGCTTACATGGCAAGTGCGTTAACCACCAAGCATCTCCCTAGTCTTTTTTTGTTTTTGTTTTTTTGTTTTGTTTTGTCTTTCAAAACAGGATTTCTCTGTGTAGTCCTGGCTGTCCTGGACCTTGTTCTATAGGCCAGACTGGCCTCAAATTCACAGAGGTCTACCTGCCTCTGCCTTCTCAGTGTTGGAATTAAAGGTATATACCACTATGATCAGCCCAAGATTTAATTCTTTATGTACAAATAGTAGCCTGGTGGTGGTGATGCATGCCTTTAAGGCAGACGCAGGCAGGTTTCTTTGTGTTCAATGACAACCAGGGCTACACAGAGGGGCCAGTTTCCAGAACAAGGTAGACATATCCACCTTAGCATGCAAAGTTGTTTTATCTTTAATAAATAGTAAAATTATGTCTTCTAAATATTCTTTCAAAAATAAAGCTGGGCCAGGCCATGGTTGCCCATGTCTTTAATCCCAGCACTTGGGAGGCAGAGGCAGGCAGATCTCTGAGTTTAAGGCCAACCTGGTCTGTAGAATGAGTTCCAGGACAGCCTCCAAAACAATACAGAGAAACCCTGTCTCAAAAAACAAACAAATAAATAATTAAAGTGAAAATCTTTGATTTTTCAAAAAACGTTTTATCTTTATACCTGTTTAAATACCTAGACACATGGATTGCATGTAAAATTTCTTAGGGGGAAAAGGATTATCTGTAGAAAAAGTTTAAGAAGCCATGAATTACCAGGAGGTGGTAGCATGTGCCTTTAATCCCAGTACTTGGGAGGCAGAGGCAGGTGGATCTTTGTGAGTTCAAGGCCAGCCTGTCTACAAAGTGAGTTCTAGGACAGCTAAGGCTACACAGAGAAACCCTGTCTTGAACCCCCCCCCCAAAAAAAAGAAGCCATAAATTAGGTTAGGAAAGATAGCTCAGTGGTAAGGAACACTTGTTGCTCTTCCAGAGGACCAGAGTTCAGTTCCCAGCATCCATGCCAGGTGGCCCACAACTGTTTATAACTCTAGTTCTAGGGAATCTGATCCTTCTTTTGACCTCCATGGTTACCCATACATACATGGAACATACACACACAAATAAAAACAAATCTTGAAAAAAAAAAAGAAGCCATGGGTTAGGTAAGTATTGAAAGTGAGATTTGGTAAGAAGCCTTCGCTGCCTATTTTTCTGCCATTCTAAAAAAGCAGAATGACAGGTAAACCAAATTTGAAATAAAGTATTTTAGAATGAAGTGTTTTGTTAAAACTATTAGATTGATAGTTGACTAGACTATGGGAATGGTAAATGAATACTTGACCTTTAGGTTCATACTAGGTGAGGAAGGGAAGTGAGAGCTCTTTTTTTTTTTTTTTTTTTTTTTTTTTTGGTTTTTCGAGGCAGGGTTTCTCTGTATTGTTTTGGAGGCTGTCCTGGACCTCGCTCTGTAGACCAGGCTGGCCTCGAACTCACAGAGATCCACCTGCTTCTGCCTCCCAAGTGCTGGGATTAAAGGCATGCACCACCAGCGCCTGGCTGTGAGAGCTAGAGCTCTTCTAAGTACTACTGTAGTGACTTTGGTTAAAGGTCCTTTCTTCTTACAAAAAATGGGGTTTTTAGAAAGCAGCTTTGTTTCTGGTGCCTGTTGATAATGGGACATGCCTTCATCATTTTAGGCGATGCCATCAGAGTAACTGCAGGGACTCCAGTCTACAGTTTCTTTGAGTGATTAGTTATCATGAATTGTGTTCTTTTGGTGGGTGATTCTTCTGGAATTTTGTATTAAGTCATAGGAGCTCAGATTCTCTTTGCCTTTCGGACTATGGAATTGGAGGAAGTAGGGACTTGTAGTGTTCTTTCTGGGCATGGGATTTAGAAGCTCAAGAAGGAAAAACTGATTTGACTTTTTGTGTTCCTGCTGTGCAAGAATGAATATTTGAAGGTGGAATAGTATGTGTACTTGAAGTCTTAGATCTGAGATCACTTACACCATTACTGTTTCTCACCTCTCACATCCTTTATAGTATGTGTGTTTCTTCATTATATGATAAGTGTACTTAGCATTTGTAAATATAAATATGGGAAGTGTGTGTCATTTAAGGAGTAGTATACATATGGAATTCTGAATTTAATTATTTTTAATTTATGCTTTCTGTATGTGCATTTGTGAGCATGTGTGTATGCTACCACATGTGTGTAGACAGAAGCACTGGAGGGAAGCAGTTCTTTCTTCCTGCTATGTTGGTTCTAACTAGGGTGAGGACTCAGGTTGTCATCTTTGGTGGCAAACACCTTTACCCACTGAGCCATCTTGCTGGCCCTCTATTTTATTTTAAGATTTTTAAAAAAGATTTATTTATTTGTTTGTTTGTTTGTTTATTATGTATACAGTGTTCTGTTTGCATGTATCCCTGAAGGTTAGAGGGCACCTGATCTCATTACGGATGGTTGTGAGCCACCATGTGGTTGCTGGGAATTGAACTTAGGACCTCTGGAAGAGCAGCCAGTGCTCTTAACCTCTGAGCCATCTCCAGCCCCTTATTTTAAGATTTAAAAAAATTTGCATGTATGTCTGTGTGAGGAAGTCAGATATTGGAGTTACAGACAGGTATGAGCTGCCATGTGGGTGCTGGGAATTGAACCCAAGTCCTCTGCAAGAGCAGTCAGTGCTCTTGAACCACTGGCCATCTCTCCAGCCCCTTAAGATTTTTGTTTGTCTGTTTGTTTTGAGATAGGGATTGTCTGTATAGCCCTGGCTGTCCTGGAACTTATTCTGTAGACCAGACTGGTCTTGAACTCACAGATATTCTCCTGCCTCTAGCCTCCTGAGTGCTGGGATCGAGGTGTGTTTCACCATATCCAGCAAAGTGAGTTTTTAAAAATTATATTTAAATGGTTTAAGAATTTAATTATTAAGCCAGGTGGTGGTGATACACGCCTTTAACCCCAATACTTGGGAGGCAGAGACAGGCAGATCTCTGTGAGTTTGAGACCAGCTTGATCTGCAGAGCTACACAGAGAAACCGTGTCTCAAAAAACGGAAACAAAATTAAAATGTTCAAACCAGCCTCTCAGATCATTTGAGTTTTTTTTTTTTCTCGAGACAGGGTTTCTCTGTGGCTTAGAGGCTGTCCTGGAACTCGCTGTTGTAGACCAGGCTGGTCTCGAACTCACAGAGATCCACCTGCCTCTGCCTCCTGAGTGCTGGAATTAAAGGCATGCTCCATCACCACCGAGATTCATTTGAGGGTTTTTTTTTTTAATTTTTAGAGTTTCGCTATATAGCCTAGTCTGACTTCTAACTCAGATCTTCCTACCTTAGACATGTGAGTGCTGAGATGATGAGAATGTGGTACCACACTCACCAGAAAAGCTTGTAAATTGACTCTTTAAACTTCCATTTCAGGAACCTTCAGCTTATGGTGCCACCCCAAGTTTGAGGATCGCTGTCAGTCTGTGGTAGAGTTCATCAAGAGAGCCATCATGCACTCCAAGAATGGAAAATTTCTCTATTTCTTGAGATCCAGGGTCCCAGGTAAAGCTGTAGTTATAGTAATTATTATTGTTACCTTTTTGAGACAGGGCCTTACTGTGTATTTCAGGCTGGTCTTGAACTTTCTGTGTAGCCCAAACTGGTCTTAAACATATTGTCCTCTTGCCTCAGCCTCCTGCTAGTTATATTAATTTTTAAACCTAACTTGGATATGACAGTATCCTACCGGAATGTCCCAGCCCCCAAACAAAGGCCACACCTGAAATTTTTCGACCTGGCTATTGTAGCAACTCCTTTTCCTGCAGAGTCCAGTGACTGACTCCAGCCCTTTACGTTAATTGTACAGTGCTCTGAAGAATGGTTTCTACTTCTCTGACCATATGAATAAGAACACCACTCTTGTCTCTGAAATCCAGGCATCTTGTACCATTTGACATCAAGATGACTCCTTCCTGTTGTTACAGGTGTCTTTTTTTTTTTTTTTTTTTTTTTGAGACAGGGTTTCTCTGTATTGTTTTGGAGGCTGTCCTGGAACTCGCTCTGTAGACCAGGCTGGCCTTGAACTCACAGAGATCCACATGCCTCTGCCTCCCAAGTGCTATGTTACAGGTGTCTTGACTTTTACTTGTGAAACAGAAAGTGACAACTCCCGTGTCACATCCCCAGGGACAGGGATGTGAGAGTGGGCTCACCGAAAAGGCAGTGGTGAGGGGTCCATGGTTTGTTCACACCGTACTAACTGACCAAGAGGAGTGGGGTTGTTGTTGTTTTGTTTTTGGTTGGTATATTGACATCCCTGCTGCTGTTAAAGACAAAGACCTCACTCCATTTGAGAGCACCTGCTTCTCTGGTGTGGTTATACAGTCAACCAGCCCACTCAAGAAAGCACCTGCCTTGTCTCTATCAGAGGTTTAGAGGAAATTGGTTTTTAGCATTGGGTAAATAAAACCAACAAGCACATTAATGTGAAAAATTTGTAGGATACAAACAGAACTTAGAGAGCTTCATGCTTTCACTTGGAATCATATTAGTTTCCTAAGTAGGGTGCAAGAATTTGCTCTAAAATGTAGGAGTTGCTGGGGAGCCTTGGGCAGAACATCAGGAACAGGATTGGGCCAGGTGACAGTGATGTTTGTATAATGTTGGTGATTTAAATAAGGCACGACAGGGTGTGAACTGTATTAATTCTCACTTCATTTGGTATTTGCTGCCGTGCTGCCAACACCGTCAAGCTCATGTGTTTGTCTTAGTTGAAGGAAAATGCTAGCATTCGTCAGGATTGACTCTGCTTAGCAATTTTTAACATTTGTGGATATGATGGATATTTATTTAACAAACATTTATTTGTAACTTGGTATAAAAAGTAAGCCAGTTGATGCCCTCAGGCAGCTCATAGCCGTAAGGAAGAGATGGCAGAAAGACAAAGGTAGAACCCCAAGCACAGAAGTGATTTTCAGGGACAGAGTAATGAGCTCTGCTTGATGTGAAGTAGGCATGCTCAGTCTTACTACTATGGAGCATCTCTGCTTGCAGACTATTGAGGGACTTGGTGGACTCTTGGGCTCCATCAATACAGCTTTTTATCCCACAAATGTGCTTTATCTTCAGCTGAGATTTCTAACTTTGAACATAGGTTAGAGTTTGTAGTGTTTACTACTATTTATTGAGTGTCTGTTATATACCAAGTAGTAGGCCAAGTTTTTGGTTTAAGTCTTTTACTTCTTTTTATTTTATTTTAATTTTAAATAACATGTCAATCCCAGTTCCCTCTCCCTCCCCTCCTCCTGCACTCCCCACCATCCCCCCAGCCTCCCACCCTATCGCCACTTCCTTCCACATAGGGGATGTCTAGAGTTTCACTCAGGGCAGGGTCCAGCCACTCCCCTAAGAGTCCAGGCTGAGAGATCCCTCTTTGTGTTATGGACACACGAAGTCCGTTTGTATGCCAGGGATAAACACTGATCCACTGCCCAGGGCCCCATAGGTTTCCCAGGCCTCCTCACTGACTCTTACACTCAGGGGGTCTGGATCAGTCCCATGCTGGCCTCCCAGCTGTCGGTCTGTGGTCCAAGAGCTCTCCCCTGTTCAGATCAGCTGTCTCTGCTGGTTTTGCCAGCCCAGTCTTTGCCAATTTGCTTATCACTCCTCTCTCTCTGTCACTGGGTTCCATGGGTTTAGTTCAGTGTTTAACTGTGGGTGTTTGCCTCTGCTTCCATCAGTCACTGGATGAAGGCTCCAGGATGGTTATAGATATCAAGTTCATTATCAGGAATGGGCATTCAAAGTGGTCTCTCCACTATTGCTTAGCTTGCCAGTTGGTGTCATCCCTTTAGATCACTAGAGGTCTCACTGGTGCCAGGTCTGTCTTCTAACCTATGATTCCCTCTTCCCCCTATTCTACCCCCCACTCAACCTTCCTGTTCCCCCATGACCTACTCTCTCTTCCTCTTCTCCCCCTCTCTTCTTCCCAGCTCCCATTCCCCCCACCCCTCGCCATGTTCCCCATCTGTTCAGAGGATCTTGCCTCATTCCTCTTCTCTGGGTTACCATGCATCTCTCTCTTAGGTTCTTTCCTGTTTCCCAGACTCTCTGTCAGTGGGAGTGCAGATTGGCACTATCCTGATTCATGTCTAAAATCCATATATGAGTGAGTACATACCATGTTTGCCTTTTTGTGACTGGGTTACCTCACTCAGGATGGTTTCTTCTAGTGCCATCCATTTACCTTCGAATTTCAAGATTCCATTGTTTTTTTCTGCTGAGTAATACTCCATTGTGTAAATGTACCACATTTTCTCTATCCACTCTTCAGTTGATGGGCATTTAGGTTGCTTTCAGGTTCTGGCTATTACAAATAATGCTGCTGTGAACATAGTGGAGCAGATGTCCTTGTTGTATGAATTTGCATCTTTTGGATATATGCCTAAGAGTGGAATTGCTGGGTCTTGTGGTAGATTGATTCCCATTTTCCTGAGGAATCTCCATACTGATTTCCAAAGTGGCTGTACGAGTTGGCACTCCCACCAGCAGTGAAGGAGTGTTCCCCTCTCTCCAGCATAAATTGTCTTTGGTGTTTTTGATTTTAGCCATTCTGACAGGAGTAAGATGGTATCTCAAAGTTGTTTTGATTTGCATTTCCCTGATGGCTAAGGATGTTGAGCACTTTCTTAAGTGTCTCTTGGACATTTTAGCCTCCTCTATTGAGAATTCTTTGTTTAGTTCTGTACCCCACCTTTTTGGATCCTTTGGTGTTTTGGAGACTTGCTTCTTGATTTCTTTGTAAATTTTGGAGATCAGCCCTCTGTCAGATGTGGAGTTAGTGAATATCTTTTCCCATTGTGTGGACTGCCTTTTTGTCTTGTTGACTGTGTCCTTTGCCTTACAGAAGCTTCTTAGTTTCAGGAGGTCCCATTTGCTAATTGTTAAATCTTTTAATTCTTTAACCACCTCAAAGGTAGCTAATCGATTAATCTATTAAAATTATAGCTAGTGGGACTAGGCAATTTAATTCAGTTGGTAGAATGCTTGCCTAGCACTAATGAAGCCCCAGAGTCAGTCCCCAGCACAGCACACACTAAGTGTAGTGGGCATACTTGCAATCCTAGCACTCAGGATGTGAGCTGACCCAGGGTCTTGGGCAAGCTGGGCAAACTCTGTGGAATCACATTCGCAGCTATCTGTGTGTGTGTGTGCGTGCGTGCGTGTGCGTGCATGCATGCATAATATTTGCTTTGGGAGGTGGTGTCTGATGTATGCGAGGCTGGCTTCAAGCACACTATCTGAAGATGAATTTCCGATCTCAGCACTTAATATGTAGTCCACAGTAGTCCTTGTGACAGTCCCCCTGCCTTAGCCTCCTAAGTACTAGGATTATAACTGAAAGCTACCATACCCTGCTGGGACAAGTATATTAAGTTCAGCATCATAAAGAGATACCCTGCCTTAAAATATTTTTAAATAGAGCCGGGCGGTGATGGCGCACGCCTTTAATCCCAGCACTCGGGAGGCAGAGGCAGGCGGATCTCTGTGAGTTCGAGGCTAGGCTGGACCGACAGCCTCCAAAATAATACAGAGAAACCCTGTCTCCTAAAAGCCAAAAAAATTTTTTTAAATAAAAATACCGTTCTGTCTGGAACTTACCTATTGTAACCCCATGGTTACAGTATGGCTCTCTGAATTTCCTGTAAAATCATTATTGAATCCAAAAGCTTGATTGATTCCTTTTGGGCGTTTGGTGGAAGGAGGGCACCAGATTTCATTATGGATGGTTGTGAGCCTCCATGTTGTTGCTGAGAATTGAACTCATGACTCTGGAAGAGCAGCCAGTGCTCTTCTGAGCCATCTCTCCAGCCCTCAAGTCCAAAGTCTTTTGTTTGTTTGTTTTTTTTTTTTTGAGGCAGGGTTTCTCTGTATTACTTTGGATGAAATCTGTCTTGGAACTGGCTCTGTAGACCAGGCTGGCCTCAAACCCTCCTGAGTGCTAAGATTAAAGGTGTATGCCACCAGTACCCAGCTAAGTCCAAAGTTGTTACTTGTGAGCTCCTACAGAATCAGACAAGCTACACACTTCAGCTGTCAAGGGCTCTAGGGCCAATGGCTTAAATGAACCTGTGTCTTCACAAGATGGGTCCCCAAGGGGAAGATTTTCCCTCAGGATACGTTTCCTGATGTATTGTTCAGATAGGAAATATCTCTGCAATGGGGCTTTAACAATTGCAGCTACTTTCTCAGCACTATTCTGAATGCTCCCTTGTTTTGAAATGGTCTATGCCAAACAAATTAGTCCATTAGCTTTCAACTTTTCTCAGATTCTCAGGACATAAACAGAATGAAAGCACATTCTTGGCTAAAACAGTACATTAATGGCCCCTAGCCCAGTTCCTGATAGAATCCTTGCTTCCCTCTGAAACCTTCTGAGTGGGTCCCCACTGTCCAAGTTTCCTCAGTATTCTTGCCTTCCAAATTTCCGTGAGAATGGCCACTTAAGCTCTGCTTCTAACACTCAAGAGCTTTTTAAATGCACGGTTCCAAACTCTTCTATATTCTAGCCACAAAACATTTTCAGTAACCTAAGGACCATATGTAACCATGTTTATCAGCAATGACCCCACTCCTGGTACCGATTTCTGACTTAGTTTCCTTTCATATTGCTATGATAAAATATTCTGAAGCAATCTAAGGGAAGCCAGAGATAGGATTTAGTGGCTAAAATCACTAGCTGCTTTGGCAGAGAACCTGGGTTCCATTCTCCACACCCACATAGCAGTTACTGTCTCTAATTCCAGTTCCCAAGGATCCAGCTTCCTCTCCTCGGGGCCAGGCATTCAGATAGTTCTATACTGGCCTCTCGGCTATCAGTCTGGGGTCCATGAGCTTCCACATGTTCAGATCAACTGTTTCTGTGGGGTTTTCTAGTCTGGTCTTGACCCCTTTGCTCATCACTCCTCTCCTCTCTGCAACTGGGTTCCAGGAGTTTGGTTCAGTGTTTAGCTGTGGGTGTCTGCTTCTGCTTCCATCAGCTACTGAATGAAGGCTCTAGGATGGCATATAAGGTAGTCATCAATCTCATTATCAGGGAAGGGCATTTAAGATAACCTCTCCACTATTGCTTAGATTTTTAGTTGGACTCATCCTTGTAGATCTCTGGACATTTTCCTAGTGCCAGATTTCTCTTTAAACCTATAATAACTCCCTCTATTAAGGTATCTCTTTTCTTGCCCTCCTCTATTCTTCCCCTGACTCAATCTTCCTGCAACCCCTCATGTCCTCCTCTCCCCTCTTCTTCCCTTCTCTTCTGCTTATTTTTTAAACTTTATTCATTTTGGGGTGCTGGGCATCAAACTAAGGCCTTGCTCTTGCTAAGCAGATGTTCTACCACTGTGCAATACTAATTATCCCCATTTTGCTCACTTTCAACTGGGTTTATATTATTTTTATATACATTTTTTTTCTTGTATCTTGTTTTTGCTCTCCAAGACAGGGTTTCTCTGTGTAACAGTCCTGGCTATTCTGGAACTGGATTTGTAGACCTGGCTGACTTCCAGCTCAGAGAGATCACACACTAAACAATAAAATTTAAATAATTAAAAAAAAAAGATCGGCCTGAATCGGGGAAGAAGACTAAAGGCTTTCAGAATAGGAGCCTTTAGTGTCTAGCAGAGGTTGGTCATGCCTAAATCAATGCTGGGTGTCTTGGATACCCTTTACAGTGCAAGTGCTCAGAGGAGCCACCTAAGAAGGGATTTCTCCCAAGATTCCCTTTGCTGTGGTGGAGCCACCATGGTCTCCATCTGGTAGAGCAGGTGCTGAAGGCAGGCTGCCTTTATTATTATTGGGGGGGGCGGTTCAAGACAGGGTTTCTCTGTAGCTTTGGAACCTGTCCTGGACTCACTCTGTAGATCTCACAGAGATCTATCTGCCTCTGCTTCCCTATTGCTGGGATTAAAGGCATGAGCCACCACCGCCCCCTAGCTCTGCCTTTATTATTTTCTAACCAGTTGTGTCTATAGTATTTCTTAAGTTTTTTTTTTTTAATGTATGAGTGCTCTATCTGCATGTCAGCCTTTATGCCAAAAGAGGATATCAGATCCCATTACAGATAGTTGTGAACCACCATGTGATTGCTAGGAATTGAACTCAGGTCCTCTGGAAAAGCAGACAGTACTCTTAGCTGCTGAGCCATCTCTACAGTCCTGGATAGGATGGTGGCTAAGAAAAAACTTCTTAGCTGGGTGTGTGGCATATGCCTTTAATACCAGCACTCTGGGAGGCAGAGTGGATTTCTGAGTTTGAGTCCAGTCTGGTTTACAGAGTGAGTTCCAGGTCAGCTAAGGCCACACACAGAAACCCTGTCTTGAAAAACCAAAACCAGAATTCCATCAGTAACTTTTCAATCTTGTTTTCAGTTTGCTTCTCATATTCTTCATAGTTCCTTCATTTGAACGTGTTTTAGTGTGCTGCCATTCTTGGTGGGTGTCTATTCTGTGGCACTGACTGTGGGAATTGTGCTTCCCCAGCACAGATCTGGTCCATGTGTGGGAGTTTGCTCTGGAACCTGGCTGGCACTTGTGCTCGGGTTGCTCAAGCTGCTGTAGTTCTTTCAAAAGTATCGTTTGCATCTCTCTTTTTTGTTTGTTTGTTGGTTGGTTTGTTTTTCGAAACAGGGTTTCTCTGTATTGCTTTGGAGATTGTCCTGGAACTCGCTCTGTAGACCAGGCTGGCCTGGAACTCGAAGAGATCCGCCTGCCTCTGCCTCCCCAGTGCTGTGCCACCATCACCTGGCCAAGTATCATCATCTTTGTTCCTGATGCTCGAGGGGTAGAAAGGAGAGCAGTGAGGGAAGGATGGGCACAGAGCTGCTGTGACCTGGCCTGGAAAGACAGTTGCAGGTGCGGCAGTCTTGACACCAGCTCCACCTCCACCTGCCCTCCTTTCTGCTTACTGGTTGCAATGTTGTGATGCCTTTCAGAGCTGCTACAGGGAGGGCTTGTAGTGAGTTTTTTCTGTCCTGCCAGCCAGCTCCCAAATAATGACACAGAGACTTATTAATTATGAAAGCTCAATCTTGTCGCATTAACTCTTACAACTTAAATTAACCCATAGTTTTGAATCTATGTTCCATCAGGTGGCTCCTACCCTTACTCCATTCTGTGTCCCATCTCCATGGTCTCTCTGCCTCTTTTCTTCCCATAGTTCTCTCTTCTACAAGTCTCACCTCTACCTCCTGCCCAACTGGCCATTCAGCTCTTTATTAAACCAATCAGAAGGCACCTTAACAAAGACACATCTTCAGTGTACAAAAAGATCATTCCACAACAAAGGCTAAACTTTCAACACACATGACCTTTTATGGTAATAAAGGCTATTCAAGCCATTGTACCTCTGAACATCCTGAGCCCTAGTGTTCAGGATACTGCTAGATAATGCCGAACAACTATCTCCCATTCCCAACAGGGAGACTTGGAGTTCTTGTCATTCCCTGAGAACCTCAGGCCTGTGCTTGGCCTTTTGGCCCCAAGGAATCTCTAACTTGACCTTGTTCTGGGGCTATTTTCCACAATTAGGAGTGATTCTGGAAGCCAAGTGTGGTGGCTTACACCTATGGTCCCAGTATTCAGGAGGCTGAGGTAGGAGGATTTCTCTAGGTCAGAGCTAGTCTGTTTACATAGTGAGGTTTAGTTTAACCTGTACTATGTAGCAAGATCCTATCTGGAAAACAGCAAAACAGAGCAAAATGTTGCTGGGGAGGTTATGAGAGGACACTAAATTCCCTTCAGTAAAATATGGTGTGGCACTTCACAGAAGGCTGTCCACAGCCCTTTGTGAGGGGCTTTTGCATAGGGTGTGTACATGAACTCTAAAATAGCCCCATGACACCCCCACATTTCCCTTCTTCTGGGAGTTGTAGTTAGCTGCATTATTCTCTCTGAGGGTTTTTCTTTGTTTTCATTCCTGAAGGACTGCCACCAACACCAGTACAGCTACTCTATCCAGTGTCCAGATTCAGCAATGTCAAGTCCCTCCAGCATCTTTGCAGATTCCGGATCCGGCAACTTGTCCGAATAGATCATATCCCGGATCTCCCACTGCCTAAGTACAATGGGGGTCATCAGGGTTGGGCAGGGGTGGAGGGTTAGAAATGCCTTTGAGACTTGGAAGTTGCTCCCAGAGGCCAGGCCCAGAATGAAATATTTGTAGGCAATGTTCTTTCATTCCCCATGTCTTAGCATTTAACTCTAGAGCTGTATCGTTGCAGCAGAAAGGGAGGAAGATGCGTATGTTGGCCTCACTCTGCAAGCCTTGGGCAGAATGCAGTACAGTAGAGTGAGGGAGGCAGATGTGTGCAAAGAGTGAGAAGGTGAGAATTTTGTCAGGTTGGCAAAGGCCCTTCAGTAGTCTAGCCATATAAAGGAATAGAGAAGGGAGGGTTCAGTCAATTTCTTGAAGTGACCTCTATAAACAGTATCTCCTTGGCTTTTCACAGACCTCTGATCTCTTACATTCGAAAGTTCTACTACTATGATCCTCAGGAAGAGGTGTACCTGTCCCTAAAGGAAGCGCAGCTCATTTCCAAACAGAAGCAAGAGGTGGAGCCCTCCACGTAGCAGCCCTCCACAAAAGCTGCTCAACACAAAGGTAGGAACATCCGCCTCTGTCAAGCCACTAGACATCTCTTGAGTACACTTTTGACCCATGCATTTGTCTGATAATTGGTTCCTAATAGGTACATTCTTCATTTGAAGAAAAGCACAACAGGCACAAAGGCTTAAAGCAGTGGTTCTCAACCTTTTTAATGCTTAAGCCCTTTAAACAGTTCCTCATGTGGTGACCTTAACCATAAAATAATTTTCGTTGTTAATTCACAACTGTAATTTTGTTACTGTTATACATCATAGTGTAAATATTATTGGAGATAGAGGTTTGCCAAAGGGGTCCTAACCCACAGGTTAAGAGCTCTTAAGTCTCTTACAGAAGATCCAGGTTCAGCTTCTACCACCTATACAGCAACTCAAAACCATCTGTAACTCCAGTTCCAAAGGGTGGGGTGCCCTCTTCTGGCTTCCATGGACACCAGACATACATGTGGTACACATACATATATGCAGGCAAGCACTCATCCATAAAGTAAAAACAAAATAAATACTGTCTTTTCCTTTTGGGGGGGTGGAAGAGGAGAGGGAGGAGAGCGAGCTGGGGATATAGTTCAGTAGGAGAGTGCTTGATCGCTAGCACTACTCAAAAAAAAAAATTGGTGGGCCTGGTCCACACCTTTAATCCTAGCACTCAGAGGTAGAGGCAGGTGGATCAAGGCCAGCTTGATTTACAAAGTGAATTTCAGAACAGCCAGGGCTGTTATACAGAGAAACTCTGTCTCTAAAAACAAAAAAACAAAAAATAAATATTTTTTCTTTCCTTTCCTTTTTTTAACCAACATAGTCTTATACACCTGTGATTCTAGCATTTGGGAGGTGACAGCAAGAGGATCATAACTCAAGGCCCATTGTAGGGGGAGGGGTGGCATACTATAAGCATAAGTAAAGCAGACACAGTGATGCATATGCTGTCTTCTCATACGTGCTGATCTCCAGGATACTTCATGCATGACATAGAAAGCAAGAACCCGAAAGGAATTCCTTGAAAGGAATTCTTGTATGCATTTATTTTCAAAAGACATGTTTTTTTGTTTGTTTGTTTGTTTTCCCCTGTGTAACTTTGGAGGCTGTCCTGGAACTAGCTCTTGTAGACCACCACCAGGCATAAAAAGGCATGCCTTTTAGTAAGAGTTCCACCGAGGCCCATCTCTTGAGATGGGGGATGAGAAAAAGCAGCCTTCCCCTTTCCTCAGCTATCACAAAATAAATGTTTACAAGGATAAATTAGACTGGGCAAGGTGGCACGCACCAAAATCCCTGCAGTGAGGAGGTGGAGGCCGCAGGATCAGAGTTCAAGGTTGGCCTCAGCTACACAGTAAGTTTGAGGTCAGCTTCATGAGATCCTGTTTCAAACTACATCTCCCCCACACACACCATAATCAAACAAACAAATAAATAAATAGTATCTGGAGAGATGGCAGTTAAACCCACATACTGCTTTTGCACAGGTCCTGAGTCCCAATTTCCAGGACCCATATCCAGCAGCTTACAACCTGCTATAACTCCACCTCCAGGGGGCTCCAACACTCTTTTCTGGTGTCTGAAGGCACTCTACTCATGTGAGCACAAGCCCACCCAGACACATACACATAATAAGAAGAGAAAAAGAAAAGAATAAGTGAGGAATTAAATTGTTGAAGTTAGAAGTCATTCTTCCCTCTGCCCTGCTGAGGTAGGTCTACTCTCTTTGTAAGTTGTTTTGAATACAGGTTATTGTTGGAAATTCTTACTACTGGTAGTAGTAGTAGTTGTGCGCATGTGGAGGTCAAGGACAGCTTTGGGGATCAGTTCTCTCCTTCCACCTTTATATGGGTTCTGGCAACCAAACTCAAGTCACCAGGCTTTCTAGACACGTGCCTTAAGCCACTGAACCATCTTGCTGACACTATTTATAGATAGTTGATTAACCTTGAACTCCTGGTTGTCCTGCCGGTATCTCCTCAAACCCTGGAATTATAGGCATACATTACTATACCTCTGTGCCAGTGGAGTCTTACTAGCTTGTTTGTTTGTTTACATTTTATTTTTGTTTTCATTGTGTGGGGAGGGGTGGTGCACATATGAATACAGGTACGGTACATATATATCCAGAAGAGTCAGATCCCCTAGAACCATATTCAGGTCCATGCAAGACCTAGACTAGTCTCTAATTTTCTCCTCCTAACTAGGTCATTTCTGGGTTTTTTTTGTTTTTTTTTTTTGGTTTTTGTTTTGCTTTTTTAATTTATTTTTTTTTATTTAGTCGCTGTTAGGTTTCTTTTCTTTTTTTTTTTTTTTCTTTTCCTTTTTTTTTTTTTTTTTTGGTGTTTTTTGAGACAGGGTTTCCCTGTGCAGCTTTGAAGGCTGTCCTGGAACTAGCTCTTGTAGACCAGGCTGGTCTTGAACTCACAGAGATCCGCCTGCCTCTGCCTCCTGAGTGCTGGGACTAAAGGCGTGATCCACCAATGCCCAGCTCATTGCTAGGTTCTTTTTTTTTTTTTTTTGGTTATTTTACGAGACAGGGTTTCTCTGTATTGTTTTGGAGGCTATCGGTCCAGCTCGGCCTCGAACTCACAGAGATCCGCCTGCCTCTGCCTCCCAAGTGCTGGGATTAAAGGTGTGATCCACCAATGCCCAGCTCATTGCTAGGTTCTTACTTTGTCACTGTACACTACCATGTGTGGTCTAATTAGGGTCTTTTTTTTGTTGTTTTTTTTTTGAGACGGGGGTCTCACTATATAGCCTTGACTGGTCTGGAATTCAAACTCAGAGTACTGGGATTAAAAAGCTCTATCACATCTTGCTTATTTAGTACTAAAGTGAATATTCAAAGAGGAAGTAGTATTTGTAGGAACTGTTGTTTTTGGCCATGCTGAATGCATACACATACACGCTCACCCTCCATTCCATTGTCAGCTGCCGGTTTGTTGGTAACCTTGTGCTCACTTATTCTGGTAGTTGTTTCTAAGCACTGACTACTTGTGCCTCTCTTGTGTTCCTCTGTCCTATCCCTGCTCAAAGCAAAGCCTTAAAGTGGGAACTCTAGTTCCCCAGCCTCTGCTCTTTCCCAGGGGAGTAGGACAGCTAGAGTTACTATCTCATATGTTTTCTTTCTTCAATTTTTAAAAACATTTATGCTTGTGGGTATCTTGCCTGCATGTTTATCTATGCACCACATCCATGCCTACTGCCATGGAGGCCAGAAGAAGGTGTCATGTCTCCTGGAGCTGGAGTTACAAATAGTTGTGTATTGTCATGCGGGTGCCCAGAGGAGTGGCCAGTGTTCTTAAAGGCTAAGCCATCTCTCCAGCTACTCCATTGTGTTTTCTTTAACCATATCAAGGTAAACTTGCCTTGTGTGTGTATCTCCTTATGCGTGTGTCTCCGCTGGGCTCTGGAAGCCCCAGACCCTGTACTGTTATGGGAAAGCAGGTGAGTCATGCTAATGAGTATTGTCAGGGTCAGAGGAGAAGGCAAAAGAGACTAAGAGACGGTTGTTCTGGAGTGCTGCAGAGCTCTGCCTTAAGGACTCAGGTCTGGGTGTACAAGTTCATATGAAGTGATTCCTAGCATATCCAAGTGCTTAAGCATGTAGAAAGATTTCTCTGTGTGGTGGCCTTACAGACAATATTAGGGCAGAAGCTGGGTATGGTGACACATGTTTGTAATCTTAGCACACGGAAGATAAAAGCAGCAGAATGTTTCTTTTTTTTTAAGTTTTGTTTAATTACATTACTGTGTGGGAGTATGTAGACATAATGCAGGTCCTTTGAAAGGCCAGAAGGAGGTATCAGATTCCCTGGCTCTGGAGTTACAGGTGCTTGTGACCCCCCCCTGCCCACCCAATCATGGATACTGAGAATTGAACTTGGATCTTGGAAGAGCAGCAAGAACTTTTATCCACAGACCTTCTCTCCAGCCCAGGACCTCTGATTATGAGACTACCTGGGCTTCTTAGCAGGTGGTTTTATCCACTGAGCCATCTCACCAACCCAAAAGACTTTTCTTTGGAAAAAAAAGACTTTTCTTTGGCAGGGACTGGCTTGGAACTCATAAAAACCTACCTACCTTTCCCTTTTGAATATTGGAATTCAAGGTTTTTGGTACCATGCTCAGCCACCATGTTTTTTGGTATCAAAATCCTACCTCAAAACTAAAAGATCAGAATGGAAAGGTTATAGGGAACTAGAAGCATCTACTGGACTCTGCTCTTTTTTAAAGTATTTGCGTACATGAGTGTGTGTCTGTGCCTTTGTGATTTAATGTATACCTATGCATGTAGAAGGTTGTAGAGGCCAGAAGAGGGCATTGGGTCCTCTGGAACCAAAGTCAATGGGGTTTATAAGTCACATGTGGGTTCTGGGAACTGAGCCCAGGTTTTCTGCAAAAGTAGTAAGCACTCTTAACCTCTGAGTCATGTCTCCAACCCCCTATTGAGAAATAATAGGATCCTTCAGTTAGAGCATGATTTCTGTGGGTGCTGTGCCCTGCAAGAAACTCACAACAATAGGAACACATTCAGAAGTGCTTGGGTGTTGGGGGGACTCCAGGCATTATCATATGGGAGGACATAATTGGACTGGAAATACAACTAACCCAGAGAAAAGTATTAGGGTGGACAGCTGATAGGTTTTCCTAAGGAAGACTTCGTGTTTTTGTCCTTTGTGGCTTTGTGAAGCACAACAAGGACCAATATCAACAGAGACAGTTACCACATCTGCTGTTACAGTATTTGTGGAAGTGTCTGGTTGTCCAGCTGCTGCTCTGCTTTGGAGCTGGTCTTCTGCCTACCATGCATGATTTGTTCTCTTCTCCCTTTTGGTTCTACTACTCTGTTTGAACTGTTTTTTGTTTCCCTTTTTACCTAGGCGTTTTGATTGCCAAGCTCCGGTTTGAAGAACCAAATGAAGCTACCACAAAAGAAGAACATGGCAGAAAAAGAATAGAGAGGGGTGTGATTCCGGCACAGACTTTAGCTCCCCTGCAGCTCTGGAGCTTGGAAGAAGCACACAATCATCCTCCATGTGGAGCTCCCCATTCTACCCAACCCTGTGTCATCCCTGCCCCCCAGAACTAGATGAGCTCCTTGGAAAACTGGAAGAAGTCTTTCACTGTTTCTTTTCAGAAGTTATGTTTTGATATTTGTATTTCTCAGTATAGAAAACTCAGTGGAAGGCAGCTGGAGTTTATACCCATTGAGTTGAAAGTGGTGTTGGGATGAGTAGGTCAGGGAAAGGGGAGGGGAGGACTGGTGCTTCAGCTGGAGCTAAAGGCAGCACTGAAGTCTTTTCCATGAACCTGGTGGAGGGGTGGGGGGCAGAGAAGTAGAGAAGAATGAGATTGGTAGCTTCTGAGGAAAGGCATCTGATTCTCATCTCCAGCTTCAGGAGGAGAGAAGGGTGGTGAGGAAAAGAGAAGCTGGCTGGTTCTGTTTGCTGGGGAATAGTGATTCCCTTACAAGCCTGGTTTCAGAATTGCCTCTCATGGAATCGGTGTTCATTTTGTTGTGCTAAATTCCTTAAACTCAGTGACCCAAAGCAAACCCAGTTCTCCTCCCCCCTCCCCGCAAGGCAGTGGTGTTTCTTGTCACCTGGGCAGTCCAGTGCTCCAGTCCTGGGCTGCCAGGTTCTTCATGGCAAAGCATATCTACAGCTGAGGAATCCATGTTACCCCATCCATCAGCTAGTTAAGAGGAAATGTGGAGGAAGTGAGAAACAGCTATTGTGCTTCTAAAGGAGCCTTCGTATCTCAGCCTTAATGGGATTTCCATAGTGTAGCGAGAGCAGAGTCTCACAGTCATATCTGTCACTGTCGTCCCACCTCTGGGATGGGAGGTGGCAAGGGCTTCCTCATTTTCCCACATTCATTCTTGTAACCCAGACACTTCGTGAGTCAGACCTCATTGCCCTTCCTTTACTGGTGTCTGCCAGTTGCTAGTGTGAAGCTAGTGTGAAGTCGCCTGTTTTCCAGGTGGCTGTGAAAGGAGGAAAGGACTTTGGTGCTTGAGCTGTCTTTGTGTCTGAAGCTGGCCACTGCCAGTCATAGGCTACATAAGTATGCTCTCCTAAAAAGTTACTCTGCAAGAAGTCACTGTCAAGATGGACAATGGAGCTGTTGGGTCTGTCTTATTCTCCTGTAGTATTCCATGTGACAGCCTCCTGTGTTTTCTCTCTCGGCTTGTGTCTGTCTCCTATGACAAACTAAACATAGTCAGGTTGGAGTTCTAGATGGCTTAGGGTAAAGCCCTGTGTCTTGGAAACTTAGAAAACTATTTCATCTGGAAAGTGGCCTGTGGGCTTCCTCTGTGTAGTCACCTTCCTCCGTTAGCCAAACAGAAAGGAAATGCACTTCCTCAGTAGCTGTAAAGAAATGAACTGTGTATGTGTCAGTCAGCTCACTTCTGACATGTCTTATGGTACCCTTTTCCTCCTTGACTTCATATTACCAACAGCATAACATCATGATTCAGATATTGGCATACCTGTGAGTTCTGGCTCTGGAGGGTACAGGTTACTCACCATTATACACACAAAAAGGGCCATTCTGCAATAGAGCCGTAAATCTAGAATCCATAGAGATGTTAAAGTGGTTAGTGTGTTGTTTGGAGGGATTCTCTCTCCAATTTCAGTTACCCATAATTTAAAAAGTAGTTTTCATGCTGTGTTTGCATGGCTCTGAGATAGGTAGTGTGGAATGACATAAGAGGTAGAAGACAAGATCCCTTCCCTGAACTATAAAGTGACTGTTGCATGTGAAGGAATTAGAGAACAACTCATTGCAGCAGAAGATCAAGGACCAGCTATCCTTTAAAGACAGTGGGTGTGATCAGGGTAGACCAGATAGTGTAGGAAAGCTCTGTGGTGATACGGCTTTGGGTTGTAGGCGAGGGCAGTGTATCAGAGCACTCAAACTAAAGTACAGAAGGAGAAGTCTGTGACAAGTGTGCAGCTGCCTTAAATAGCAGCATCAGAGTCCTATTTGACCACAGCAAAGGTCTAGACTGCAGCTTTCCAGTAGCTGGACAGGTCTGAAGGCCAAGGAGGAGTGAAGGTGTGGAGGACAAAACCAGAAGTCAGCAGACACCTCTGTGGTACTGGGGTTACCAGGGGTGCAAACCAGACCTGCTATGGAGCATGAGCAACTCACTGTTTTTGTCCTAGGAAAGTGTCCTGCTATACTGTGCTCGTGATCTGCATGTGTTTCAGACACAGTCCAACTGGTCTGATCCTTCCTTGGTAGAATGGGCTGTAAAAGAGCAGTGTGGAAGATGGCTCTTTGAGGCATGGCTTGGCACCTGGGAGGCCTTGTGTAGAAGGGAATGGCTGGACAATAGAAGCAGGAAACAGGCCAGAAGTCAGCATTGGCCTTTGCCCTCTGCCCATGCTGGGCAGTGCTAGTGGAAATGCAGTTCACAGGGGGACTCACTCGTCTTTGGTAGTTATGTGCCAGCCACACACCAGGAAAGGCCATCACTTCTAGAGACCTGTTGTGAGCTTCTGAGTTGTAGTTGGGGGAGTCTCTAGTCCCTGACCCAGGCTATGTAACCTTTATTTGTTTATAACTAATTAATTGTAACCTTCCTCAAGATGGGTATGTGCCAGTGTAAGCTAGTGACAACTACTACTGCAACCTGTTATTACTTGAAATGCATGTCTGTGCTGGTAGCGTAGGCGTAGGGGGAGCAGGAACTTGGCTGTGGGGTCCAGCTGACCTGGCTTAATGTTTAGGCTGATCATGGCCTAGTTTCCTGCTTATGCCAAGGTGAAGTAAATGTAGATGACAGTGCCAGTCTCTTGAAAAAGCTTGGAAGTGTCCCATAGTTCCTGTTTCTCCTTTCCCACTGTCTCTTAGGCTAAGCCACTGTTTGAGGCCGAGCAGGGAGTGATGGGATGGCTACACATTCCCCGCTGATACACATCCCTTAAGGACCGAGGAATAGTTCAGAATACAGTCCCAGGAAGTACCCCAGGGAGCCGCCACCCTTACAGCCTTTCCCCATGCTCCTAGAAGGGCCTGCTTGAAGCCCCTATCCCAACGGGTAGTAGGGACAGGAGAAACTTCCCCCAAGTAAGATATTTTCCTTGTTGCCTCTGCTGACCTTTGAACCCAGGAGTCAGAGGTCAAGTCACTGAGATGTAAGGAGCTGCCACAAGTTCTGGAAGTCTGCGTGAGTGTGTGTCCTCGTTTGTAGAAGTCTTGTCTGCAGTTGGGGTGTTGGGAACATCTCCACTAGCGGGGACTAGGATTTGTTTTCCACTTTAAGAGAATGGCATGCCCCCGTGTGGAGGGGAAGAGCTTTGAGTTAGACATTTTCCCTATGGGAATCCTCTTGGTTTGGTTTGTGGGAAGAGGGGAGTGGATAAATGGTTTTTATTTCTAGTCATCAACACAGCTGTCCTTACACTAAATTTGTGCTATTGCATACATGTAGCCATCTTTCTTTTCACTGCAGCAGTGTTTATCAGTAGTTCAAAATGATTTATTTGCTCCTGGGGAGTAAAAGCTTTTTTATTAAAAAGAAAAAAAAGGAAAAAAAAAAAGGTGTGCCCCATTAAGATAGCTGTAGAATTATTGGGCCACAAGAGTCAAGTCTGCAAGTCCTGTTTTGGTATTGGAGCCTTTGTGCTCAGTACAGTGTGCCAGGAGGCCTTCCTTGAACAAGTGGAGAACAACATTTTGGGGAGTGAGATGGGATTGGATGACTGAGGGCTCTGGGAACTCGGTACTGCAGTTGAAAACAGAGTACTGACTCTATAGTCCGCCAGAGAAGGAAACCTTTCTTTACATGCAGATTTCATGTGTCCTTGACTTTTCATTGCTTCCTGGTGTCCTGGGTAGGCATCACTTAGTTTTCTTTTGATGTCCCTCTTGTCTTTCCTGTCCTTTGTCTTGTCCTTTCCCACTTCATCTACCTCCCGGAAAGCCAATCCTGCATGCTGAGTTTGTGACATGCCTTCACTCCCATTTCATCTTAGAGGGTTTTAGAGGGCCCCTGTGCTCCCTGCCTCCTGATCCTCCTCACAATGCCAAGAGGCATCAAGGAGCAAACAAAAGCAGCCAGCTATAGCGGGCAGACAGCATCATTGGATCGCAGCTGGACTGCGATGGCAGCTGCTTCTGGAGACAGATAGGGAAAATAAGACATTTCTTCAGCCCACTTGGGTGTGACCCCTACTGTGCACACAGCTCAGTGGACAGTGGGCTGGTCTGACCACTCACTCCATCCCTGGTGCTCCCAAGAGGGACAGGTAAGATCCAGGCACCACTCTGGGCAGGCCAGACATTGGGATCCCACACTGGTGCTGCATGGCACAGGCACTGCTGTGCATTCTGGTGGTTTTTCAGGAACTCCATGCTGAGGGGTGTTATTCTGGACTCGGTGGCTAGGGGGTTCTTTGCTAGAGGGGAGCCGTACTCCTGCAACCACTCTGTCCTACTTAGCCACCCCTGCCCTCCGAGCCAAAGCGTGGCCTGGTTTTTGTCTTCCCATTTAGTTTTCCTCCTTTATTCTCCCTTTTTGTGCTTAATTTATTAAAATAGTTGCTGTATAATTTATTTTCATAAAGTATAAAAAAATAACTAAATGGTTAAAATAGACTTGCAGGCCAATCTTAAATGGGTGGGGGGTTCTGGGGTGGGATGGGGAGAGGGAAAGATGTTTTGATATAAACAAAACAAATGCACTTTGGGTGTGTTTTGGTATTTTTCTGGGCATAGAGGGGTGGGTGTTGGGATGTCCCTGTAGATTAGTTCCAGAATGGGGTGTCTGTAAATACTGTATTAATAGGCATGTTTGACTCTTGTAAAGGGACATTAAGTAGCTGCTGCAGGTCCTGTTGGAAACCCCGTGTATAATTCCCGGTTTTTGTAAGTGTCAGTGCGGGAGACATTTGACTCTTGTGTTTGTATCTCCTTTTTATGATTGCTGTACCGACCCATGTCTTTTTGGGGAGGGATGAAAAGAGATTTGAAATAAAAACGTTTAGAAATGATCTGTTTATTAGAATTTGTGTTTTCCAGTCCCTCTCCTGACTCTTCATCCTTTCTCGGGCATGGGGTCCCTGAACTGGCAGCCATTGCAGAATACACCCAGTTCCTCTTTAAGTAGAGTTATTGGAAAATTCCTGAGGCTGATGGCCACTGCCCAGAGCTGCCCTAGGAAGTGCAGGAGCATTCCAGAGAGCCTTGGGGAGAGTGGGCAGATCCTGAAGCCCTCCTGCCTGGGTGAGCAGTGACACAACATGGAGTAGCACATTTTATGTGGCAGTGGCCGTCCTGGTGTGACTGACGGTAAGGCTTCCTTGCCACTTTTCCAGCCTGGCCCTCCTAGCTCTTGGGCAAGGCTGTTACTTTCCTGGTGGACACTGCTGTGTACTGGGAGCAACTCTAACCCCACCCGCCCTTTCCCACTTACTCTTCCACCTCCTGCTTAAGGGGCTAGTCTGCTGCCTGGAAATTGTCTGCAGGTTCCTGCTGAATTGTCTGGGAAGTCTCTTCACTAGGCTAATCAGAGGCAGCCTAGGAGTCTGCTAGCACCAGTCAGCTCCTGCGGGAGTGCAGTTCCCTGTCATGACACTGTTCCTCAGGCCTGATAGTCTGACAGTGGCAGTAACTCCTGAATAAAATTTCCTTCATTCTTGAAAGAAAAGGTGGCTCCGACAATAAAGTCAACAACAAATTGCAAGGGAGGCTTCACTGGCCGTTTGGGAGCCCATCACAAGAGATCTCTGCCAGAAGCACCTGAGCTCCACAGGCCTCATCTAGAGAGTGTGTTATCAGAGTATACTTTTCCAAATGCAGTACTCATTTTCATTGTTCCAACTCCAGATCATTCGACATGGGGAGGCCTGTTGGGCTCTAAGCTTAGGAAAACAAGGTACAGGTCCCCTCTGACTTGGAAGAATGGTCATCCTTTTGTAAGCCTGAGCCCAAAATGTTCTTCACAACTTGCAACCACCTCTCCACCTCCTGTGGCCTTGTCCACTTCACAGCTACCACCCGCCCCTACCACGGTAGAGCTGCTCGTGTACATGCTCAACTCAAGTCCATGCAAATAACGGTGTGGGAGATCCTCTTGCTAGTCTGCCCCATGTTCCCTGATAGAGGTGGCATCAGGAACGGGTTTCCCCATCTTTCTTGGCTCCTCCCACATCTCAGTAAGAGCATCTCACACTTCACGACTCTTCTCCATATTTGTGCCAATTGGACCCAACATCCACTGTTTTTCTCTGTTTTTCAGCCAAAAGCTCAAGAGTTCATTCAAGCTAATGAGTGAGTTGTCATTGGGATGCCTTCCCAAAGGATTCAGAAGGGGGGGGGGGTTGCATTGTTAAACTACTCAGGTCTCCATAGAAGCTGGGACTGTCAAAAAAACCCTTTGCCATATATGAAATTTAGGTAACCCCCTTTTTATTCAATTTCAGCAATTTCCTCCTGTTTTCTCCCTCCCATCCTTTCAAAAATCTTCTAGGGTCTGGAAAGATGGCTCACTGGCTAACAGCACTTGTTTTTGCAGAGGACTCAGGTTTGGGTTCTCAGCACCATGGTGGCTCACAACCACCTGTAAGGCAAACCTGGAGGTCTGATGTCCTCTTCTGACCTCTATGGGCACCAGACACACCTGGTACAAATACATACATTCAGACAAAACATTCATACATACAAATCTTCAAGAAAATTATTCCTAAACTGGGCAGTGATGGTGCATGCCTTTAATCCCAGCACTAGGGAGGCAGAGGCAGGCAGTTCTCTGTGAGTTCAAGACCAGCCTGATCTACAGAGCAAGTTCCAGAACAGACTCCAAAGCTACACCCTGTCTCAAAAACAAAACAAACATTCCTTCTATCCAGGGATAATGACATATGCTTTTAATCCCAGCACCAGGTATTTAGAGGCAGGAAGATCTCTCTGAATTTGAGACCAGACTGGTTTACAGAGTTCTAGGACAAACAGCTACATAGTGAGACCTTGTCTGTTGTGGAATATTTAACTATGTAAAGATGTGATACATTTGTTTATGCTATGGGATATTACTTTAACTGTGTAAAGGTGTGTTACTTTTATTTTTGTTGCCTTTGTTAACAATGTAGAGATGTGTTACATTTGTTTATGCTGCATTTGTTTAATTATGTAAAGATGTGTTACTGTTTTACCTTGCCTGTCTGAAGACATCTGACTGGTCTAATTAAGAGCTGGATGGCCAATAGCTAGACAGAGAAAAGATAGGTGGGGCTAGGGAGCAGAGAAAGTTAGGTAGGAGAAATCTAGGCTCGAGAGAAGGATGAAGAGAAGGGGGGGGGGGGGAACGGACGGACATGTCCAGGGCCAGTAGCCAGGCAGCAGGAGGAAGCAGGAAAGTAAGATACACTGAAGAAGAGAGACAAAGACAGAGAGAAAGGTAAAAGAAGCCCTGAGGTAGGGCTGGAGAGATGGCTCAGAGGTTAAGATCACTGACTGCTCTTGCAGAGGTCCTGAGTTCAATTCCCAGCAACCACATGGTGGCTCACAACCATCTGTAATGAGATCTGGTGCCCTCTTCTGGCATATAGGCAGAACAGTTACATAATAAATAAATCTTAAAAATTAATGTAGATAAAGAGAAACATTAAAACAAGAGCTAAGATAAGGACAAACATTCATAACCAATAACACTAATAAGTCCCATGTCATGATTTGGCCTATTAACACCTGTCTAAAAATATTAAATTAAAAATTAAAAAAAATTCCTTCTAAAACCTGCCCTCTGACTTCTAAAAATTGCCCTCTGACCTACACACACTCACTCACACACACACACACACATACACACACACACACATACACTCACAAAGAGAGGGAACAGAGAGAGAATAGCATCAGGCACAGGTCCTCCTGGCTGAAATCACCTCTGGGGTGGGATGGAAACCACACTGGACTAGAAGCAAGCACCTTTGGAAGAGTTTTGAGCTGCACTGGTCAGGGAAGAACCCAGCACGTGTCAGGAGGGCTGGAAGAGCAGCCAACCCCTGAATTCGCCTGATGCCGGCTTGGGTCTCCCCCAAGTGGTTGGAGAGAAGCGAGATCAGTTCAGGGCACGCCCTTCGCGTGTGCCAGCGCCTACCTGTAACACTCTGGGCTAGGGTTGGCCAAACTGAACTGGACAGTGAACCTTCAACAGGGAAGGGAATTTCCAGGCGGCTGCTGACACAGGACAGGAACTTCGCTTCACCTGTCTTTGGGGCCTCTGGTGCCTCTGGGGGCTCTGGGGGCTCTGGGGGCTCTGGGGCAGGGAGAGGGGATGGGAGTGAACGGAGCCAGATGAACCTTCGAGCTTCTCCTGCCACCTAGTGGCTGCTCTAAGCCAGGTTCCCCAGCTGCACTCGCAGGTTGGTGGTGGTGGGTGAGGCTAGCATAAATATTCACAACAGCATCTCCAATCCGATTCTGCCTCGGCCAGTGGGGGACCCTGGCTTGTCCCGCACCCTGTGCCTGGCCATACGCGACGGACAAACCCGCTCTTTGAAGTGCAGAGAGAGCCATGTTTTCTAGATTCACTGATGGTGTGTGGAGCTGAAGTCGACAACCTCACACTGATGAGTGCCACTCACAGTTTGTCCCACTCCGGCTGGCTTGACGATGGCCAGTGACAGATCCGGGGACTCCTGTCCAGCTTGGTGTCATCCTAGGATTCTGTGTAATTCTCTAAATATGTGCTTTTTCGTGCAGGCCCTTGGGTCTCCCCCAGCCTCTCTCCCCATCTCCTCTGGATGATATGCCCTTTCCTCCCTAAGATGATAAGGGACAATAGCCACCCCGAGGTCTGCTGGGGAAGGGCCTGTTACTCCTGGGTCTCCTGTCTAGCCCTCATCTAGGGGAGAAGGCTGCTTGCGCTGAGGTCCTCATTGCATCATGTCAGAGGCTCCTGCCTAGGAAACAGCTGCAAGGATTTGGGGAGGGACCAGACCCTGGGGGAGGAGCTTCAGAAGGGATCCGGGAGTCATACGGAGGGGCCTCGTTACCGACTGTGAATCCCGAGTAAGGCGTCCAGGGACACCTGTGTGCACTTTGGTGCCTGCCACCTTTCCCGACAGACACCCGCTCTCCCTCTCCAGGCCTGGCAGCCTCAGCTGCACCCGGCCAGATTGCATCATGCTTGGCTTTGTTCTCAAAGAAGCAGGTGCAGGAGTGCCGCTTCCCTCTCATCCTTTCCGCTCCCTCCTGGGCCACCCTCCTTTCTCCCTTCAGGGTTCTCAACACCCCATTAGAGGGAGGAAGGCAGAGTAGGCTGTATCACTGTAGTCCCCCCAAAAGGAACACCAGGTGGCATAGCAGGATACGGACTACCAGAGTTGAGTGACAAGGTCAGAAACGTTTCTCCTGCTTCTAAAGCTAAAAATAACATGCGCTGAATTAATTCAACACTTGTAGGAAGTACAAGGGCTCTGTGTGTGTGTGTGTGTGTGTGTGTGTGTGTGTGTGTGTGTGTGTGTGTGTGTGTGCGCGCGCGCGCGCGCGCGTGTCTCATTTGTGTGGACCCAGTGCTTTCTGCCCATATTCTTGTGCGATCCTTTCTGCAGTCACGTGATGTGGGGCTACTGTCACCTGTTTTCCACTGGAGCCCAGAGATGTGAGGACCACAGGGCACTCAGGCAGACCTTGGATTTGAATCTTGGTCTGTTTTTCTATTGACAGACTTCTCCAAGAGACGGTTGGAAAATTCCATGTTGACCGGAACTGAACATTTTCTTTAAAAGGGGGGCTTGGAGCTGGCAATAGTGACTCATACCTGCAATCCTAACAATCAGGAGAGAGCTGCAGGAGGGTGTGCCATGAGTTCGAGACCAGCCTGAGCTCCATAATGAGTTAGAGGCCTGCCAGGGTTACAAGTAAGACCTTGTCTAAAACTGTTAGATATCGAAAGGGAGTGTGTTGAGTGCCCAACACATTCATTAGGAGGCAAGAGTGTCTTCCTGTCTTTTTTTTTTAAGATTTATTTATTTATTACGAACTCAAC